GCTCGTGCTCTGTCATTCCTAACCATTCCCAAAGGCCGCCGGCGCGAAACGTGACGTCATCGACCCCCTCCCCCCCAGATGATTGATGATTGCCGTCATCGGCCCGGACTTAAAAACAGGCTCCAGCCGCGTCCGCGCGCACGACGACGATGAGCGACGAGCGACGAACCACGAGCGACGGCGACGAACGACGACGACGACGACGACGACGACGCCTGCGGACCAGACACCTATGCGGATTCCTACGCGGACACCTACGCGGATCCCAATGCGCACGGCGGCAGTGCCCGGAGCGCACTGGGGGGGGGAGCGTTACGTCATAGGGGGGGGGGGAGCGGGGGCCATGACGCCCGTCATGCCCCAAGCAATAAAGAAATGGCCTCCTGCCTCCTCCTCTTCCATCGCCTATCATATCTCATCCCTCCCTCCCTCCTCTTCTCAGGCAAGCTGCCAGGCACTCACACCATGCGGCGTCAGCTCATTCGTGCTCCATCCTCCTCCACCCGCCTGACCCCCTTCCTCCTCCATCTCCTCCCTCCTCGCCCACCTCCTCCCTCCCCCCTCTCTGCGGCATGCCTTCCTTCCCCCCCCATCCCCTTCGTGGGGTGCCGCGCGGCTCTTTTTTTTGCGCGCGCGCGGGGGCGGCGGAAGGCGAAGATCATGCTGCGTCTTTGGAGGACCTCGCCTGCCACATCGGGCCAGCCATCTGTGCCGCATCCACGCCGGCTCCGTACCGAACGCGTCGAATCTGCTTGTCGAATCTGTGTCGAGCCCGCGTCGGATCCGCGTCGAGCCCACGTCGGAGCACAAGGAAGGGATGCAATTGCTGGCGGCGCGCGCAAGGGGGTAGGGGCAGGGGGAAAGGCTTCTTCGAAGGAGGCTGCTTCTTGGAAGGCGCCAGCCCTGGGTCTATAGATAAATTATGAGAATCAAGGCTGCTTCCAATCGGGCGCACGCTAACACTGATTAGTGATCCGTAGCTTTGGTGCGTGGGCGCCAAATCCATGGAACGGGGAAGGTGCCCCTGACACATGAGGCCAGCGCCGCCTCATTTGGCAACCCCGCGCGCCGATTTCGCATGGACACGGGACCCGTTGCTAATCCAGGCGCCGTCATCCATGCCAGCGCTCCCTCGATCCAAGAAGCCCTCCCCCCTCCCTGCCCCCCCCTTCTGCGCATGGCTGCCACTTGCAAGACGGGAAGGGCCCCCCGAGGACGCAGCGCGTGGCGGACAGGCTGGGTGGCCGAGCTCCCGTCGGCGAGGGCCGCCGTCTCCCGAGGCCGGAGCTCTGCGGGGGAAGGGGCGGCGACGGGGGGCACGGGCTCGCGGGGGGGCCGCTCGGACGAAACAGGACGCGCCAGCACCAGTCGGCCCGCATCACAAGGGTGCGCGATGAGGATGCCAGGGCCTTGGACGTCCATTTCGAAGCTGTTCGGGCGGGGCGCTGCCAGCGAAAGTGGCGAAGGATGGACCGAGGAGGCAAGGATGCAGGGGTACCCTTGGGAAAGCTGCCCATCCTTACTATGCGGGATTGGCTCTAAAATCGAGGTTGTCTGGGGAGGACACGCGAGAGGACATCAGACCCGTTCCGAGGGCCACGTTGCCATAGGAACGTAAGGGGCACGGGTCGCGAAACACAGGACAGCAGGGTACCCTTGATGTGGCAGGGTCGGTCGGCCACCCTAGGGCCATCCAGCACAACCCTCTTCCCTTCATCGCAATTCTCGCACTCGAAGCCAACAGGTCCCACAAACTAAAGGGCACCCCAACATCCCGCGCTACTGCCAACCATGAGGATGCAGAACCTGATATTTAGGATCCCAACGCTATCTTACCTGTCGACTGCTTACCGCTTCGATCGCCACGACTCACGAGAGCGACGTCCTGGGTCGCACGCCCGCGCATCTCGTATTTCCTTCTCGCTAGCTCATTCATGTTCATGAACCGTGCAGCGTGCTGGTGATCGATGCTCGGATCGTACTGCGCACGATCGTTGGAAAACGTTCTGAAGTGAATGTTCATCGCGCCTTTCTTGGTGCCCAACATCGCGGCTCTGCAAGGAGAGTAGCAGTCGGCCGCAGCGCAAACAAGTGCCCTGCCAAACTATGTCCAGCCACCTTTGGCCCGTTGCCCGACGGCGACCTTAACGCGCCAGTCGAGTCGCCGATACTCTTGACTGCGGCCCCCCTTTTGCCCAACGTTGTTCATTTGACGTTCTCTACTCCAGATTTGAGAAATGAGTCGAACGCATTTCCCACTGCTGGGCGCGCACGTCAATGTCGCGGCCGAAGCAATGCGCCGCGGCGCTATAGTTATCCATCATGACGGCCATCGCCCCGCACATTCGGAGGGAACTCCAAATTCCACGTGTCCTGCAGCTTCCCCGGGCGACTCGTGAGCGCCACAATGGCGAGCAGCTTGGCTGCAAACTCCCCGTTTCCCGTCCCGCGCGCGCCGGGAGTTGGCAGCTGCCGCGCCCCTTTCCGACTGAGGAGCTGCTGCCTCGCTGTGCTGTGCCCGCGCGCACGTCGCCGCGCCCTGGCGGCGGCCCTGGCGGCCCCCCCGGGAGGGAGCTCGTCGCCCACGTCTCCGCCGCCGTCGCCTGCGCGGCCCACGGTGCCCTGCGGGGCGCCACCTGGCCCCGCGGATGCGTCATCTGGCGGGCCAGAGAATCCGCCCCCCCCCCCCGCGGGAAGCGCGTCGCCGCGACCAGCTCCAACGCCGACGTCGAAAGGCTGACCTTGTCCGCGGGCGGCGGAACTCCTGACGAACCAAAGGCCATGTCAACGCCGTCCCCCTCTGACTCGGTGGCAACATGAATGATCTGCCCGAGTTCCTTCTCGGCGGAACCCGATGATTCGGAGTTCTCCGCGCCACGCTTCGCGACCGCAGGACGGAGACTCGGATTCGCTGGCGCTCTGCTCGGGGGGCGTAGGCCCTGGATCTCCACGCTCTCCCTGGCGACACCCGGGGTGCCCTCTTCGAACGGCTCCGCGCAACGGAGCTCCGCCGCGCGGGCCCCGCCAGCTGCCCCTCCGCCGGCACCGAAGACTCGGCTCCCGCCGCGGCCAGAGACGGAAGTGACCCCCAATGCCATGCCAGCCTCGGAGGGTCTTCCCTTTCTGGGCGGCGCCGTGGGCCCCGTGGGCACACCTTTCCTCGCCTTCTTCTCGTTCGATGCCCCCTTTTCGCTCGTGCGCAGATGACGCACCCGCACCAAATGGGGCATCCCTCCTCTGGGGGGGCATCCTCTCCGCCCAATCGAACTAAGACCGGCCAGGCCGCGTTTTCGCTGGCGCCGCAAGTGAGGGCCTAATGTTTGCCATCTTGGGGCGCCCCACGCTAACACGCGCGCGCCACGCAAATGGCCGCCCACAGTGGTCAGCTCCGTCACGCGCCTGTTCTGAACCCCCTCGCATGTTGATTCTTGCTCGTTTCAGCTAGGAAACCAAGCTCCGATCTCAGGGAACATGTTTGTTGGCTCTCATTCCAGGTGGAAGCACCACCCCGGGTGCGCGCGGGACTCGTTGAAATCAGCGCTGCCCCTGAATGTGGCCGCTTGGTGCGCTTCGAACTTTCCCGAATACGATCTCACGAACAAACACGTCGCACGACAATTCGCAACCGTCGGCTGAGTCTTTGCCTTCGACCGCTGGCTCCGCACCATATACCACCAGCTCCTGCCGTGGGCACGTCATCGGCGGCACTCCTTCCCTCTGGCAAGAGGCCAGCTCCCATCGCAGATTGGGGCGGCCCACCATCCTTCCAACCCAGGGGGACAGCGGAGGCAGGGCGAATCCGAAACTGTGCCACTGCCTTCAGGTATTCCTGGTTGTTGGGAGACTCTCTCGGGTTGTCATTCTTCTGTTACCCGAACGACCTGCCCTGGTACTGTGGCCAGTGTGACTGTTGTGGCAATCGTTCCTCTAAGGCCCAACGGGAGAGCCGTCATTTTTACATCTGGATGCATAGCGGTTGAGAGCATGACCGTTTGGTCGACCCTGGAACTGTTTGCACCCATTCGATCAAATCGATGATCATGCTTCCTGGAAACCCCAAGTTTCTGGACAAGCCAATTCACCCGAATGCATTCGGCGTGTCCCTGGGGGCAATCGTCTGGCCCTGGAAAAAGACACGGTCGTTTCTTTGCCGTTTCCGTTTTGTTTTTTTGTTGCTGGTTCTGGCGCCGTTTGTTTCCCGGTTCCGTCGCCCTTTTCCCCTGGTTCTGGTTCCGGCTTCAATCCCATAACCCTTGTTTCGCTGCTTCTGGTCGCTGTTTCTCTACCGTTTCCAATTTCAAGAAACACTTTGTTCGACAACTGTGCAGGAACGGCCCTGCCGCTTCCGCGGCCACCCAAGATCCAATATGATTCTCCCATCCATCATCGGGTCTGGCGCGGTTAGCCCTGCCTCCTGGTCAGGAATGCGCTAGCCGGGGTCACTGCAAGCCCGGGTCAGTCGGGCTTCGCAAGATTCTGCAGGATCCTGCGCGCTAGCCCGAGCCAACGCAGCCTCGGCGTTGCGTGACCCTGCAGTATCCAGCGCTCGGGCCGACCCTCGCTTGCATTGGCCCCCGTCTCAAGGCTCCCGACCATGCCGGGGGGGGCGAGCTCTGGCCTCGGGCCGCCCACAAGTGTGGGCCGCCGCCTCGCTGCGTGGCGGGAACGGCGAAATCAGCGCGCGCGGGAACGGGGGGAGGGGGGGGAGGGGAGGGGAGGGGTAGCAGGGGAGGCGAGGGGGGAGTCGGAGGAGAAGGGGCAGAGGGGGGGAGTGGGAGGGAGGGAGAAGGTAGGGAAGAGAAAGAGGACGAGGCAGGAGGGAGGAGGTGGGGAGGTGGGTAGGCGACTGGGGGGGGGGGACAAGGGGGGTGAGGAAAGACAGAAAGAGAGATAGAGAGAGAGGAGAGGCGCGGGTGAGAACGGGGAGGAGGACTAGGACTAGGACGGCGACGTGCCTCCGAATCGGAAGGTCCAAGAACGGGGAGAGGGAGGACGCGGACGGGGGAGGAGGCGGGAGGAGGAGGAGGAGGAAGGGCGGAGGAGAGGGGATCGTCGAACTCAGCCGCGCTCGCGCGCGCGCGACGTCGGCGGCGGGCGCAGCGCGTTGCCCGCGGGCGCGCGCGCACGGGTCGGCCAAACGGCCCCACGCCGCGCGAGCGGTGCCGCCGCGCTTCGAGGGGGAAGGGATCCTGAGAACAGGGTCCGCTTCATCGTCCCCGTCATTCCTCTCCCTCCTCCCTCCCCCTTCCCCTTCCTTCTCTCCCTCCTCCTCCTCCTCCTCCTCCTCCTGATCCTGATCCTGATCCTGATCCTGATCCTGATCCTGATCCTGATCCTCATCATCATCATCATCATCATCATCATCCCTTCCCCGCTCCCTGCTCCTCTAACTCATCCTCCTTCCTCCTACTCCTCCTACTCCAACTCCTCCTCTTCCTCCTCTTTCTCCTCCTCACCCACCGTTGTTCCTTATAAGTAACACCGGTGGCTCCCGCCCTGGCGCCACGCACCTTCGTCTCAATCATTCGCAACAGTTTCACGGAATGAGGGCAGACGGTGCTCAAATGTTGGATCTCACCTTTAACACCGCACACATTCGTTTTAAACGTTGATAGCTGTGGCAAGGATGGAGGGACGTCTCATTTCAAACTGTGGTTCTCGGCTTAGCGCCGCGCACCTTCGCCTTCCAAGTGTGCAACACTTTGAAATATTCTTGTGGTATAGATACCACGGACCGTGTTCTGGCACGGATTAGGATTGTCAGGACGCAACCGTCATTTTGAATCGGGGTACTAGGAGTTCTGGCACGGCTTAGCACCGTCAAGACGCAACAGTCATGCGATGCGCGGCGGTATCCCAAGAACTGTGTTTCAGCACGGCTGAGGTCCTAGACGGTTGTCTTCTAATCAGCCACTACCCGCGATGGAAACCAAGTCTTTCATGGACAGATGAAGAGGCAACATCGTTGATGCGTCCTGGGTTTCACTGATTCTCCTCCTCCTCCTCCTCTTCCTCCTCCTCCTCCTCCTTCTCATCATCAACTTCATCGTCCTCGGTCCCTCCTGCCTCCTCCTCCTCCTCATACTCCTCCTCCCCCAGTTACGACGGAACGGGCCTCTGGGATCGGGGATAGGAGATTTGGAAGAATCTGACACTCTTTGGTCCTCGGGGCGCTCCCGCGGAGACATCTTGGGACCTCCAGCCCCTGAAAACCTCTGGAGACCTCCTGAAAGAAAGAGGCCCGGATCACAACGGCCCCAGGCCGCCGCGGCTTCCCCAGGGGGGGAGGGTGGCAACCGCGGCCGATTCCGTCCCTCCTCCGCCTCCCTCCGCCCCTCCCCTGCTCCTCCTCACCCTTGACCCTTCTGCAATGCCCATGGCACTGGCACGGCAGCGACAGGACTCAGTAGACCTGCAGGCCCTGGCGGCGGAGCGGGCTGGCTCCTCTCCACGCCCCATGCCATCCTGACATTTCCGCAGGCTCCATGTTCAGAGGACGAAGCAGCGGCACACACATAAATGTTCGGAGGTCCGCGCTGAATTCGTGGCGCGGAAATGGAGCACCCTGGCGCTGCCGGTTGGGCTCTCCGCGCGCTGGGGAGGGGTGTCCAGGAAAACCGCGCGGACCTCCCAAAACTGATGGTGCGGACGCGGCTGTAAAAAACCCTCGCAGGAAACCCAGACCTGAAAACCTGCCCACGAGATGCAAACGGAGGGGAATCCCTGGCACCCTGAACGTAGCAGCTTCTTCAACGGCCGCTGGCAGTCACCGCGCATCGCGCGCAGCGAAGATGCAAAAATGTTGTGGCCTCTTGATGTGCGCCCCCACTGTATGTTTATGCAGTCTTCATTTCTTCGACTGCTGCGACCTGCGATCGGTCCATGAACGAGGGGCTGGAGGACAGGCAGCCCACCCTCCCTCGAGCCATGGGCCCCCCTCCCTTCCACTTCTTGGGGCTCCAGGTCCGCCATGACACGCGCCCGCGAGCACAGAAAGCATCAGCGCAACGGGGAGGGATGGGATGGGATGGGATGTCAGACGTGGCGCGAGCGCTCATAGCTCGCCTCCATCCTACTCTCCCTCTGCCTTTCTCGAGCCACCCCGCACTGCACCCTGCCATCCCCTGCGCTGCTCCTGCTGCCTCCTCCCCCCCCTGCCTCCCCACAGCCCTTCTCGTTGCAAGACAACCACGACGGCAGGTTTTCGCCGAGCTTCGGCCTCTGGGTCCCCTCGTTGGTCCCCAGGAACGTCCAACACGACTCGGGATGAAGAACCGGTCCGTGGGAACTGGTCTAGACTTCCAGGAGGTCCACGTTTTGAAACAATCGCGACGTCGGAGCTCTGGGTCCCCCCCTGCCTGCTAGGAGGGCGCCAAGTGTACAACGGCGCCGATCTTGGCCAAGGCAACCCTAACCCCACAATCGGTGTGCGTAACTACCGTGTGCTGAGCTGGGCGGTTCCTAGCATGCGCCCGGGAGTCGCTCGAGAGGCAGCGGGGACAGCTTGGTCGCTCAACCTCGCGAGTTGCGCCCGACACGCGCGGCTACGTACGACGGCTTCGCGTTATGACGATCCCGGGTTTGGTTTCTGAACCTGAGACCCGGGCGATGAAATTCTGTCACACTGGGCGCTTTCGCAGAGCTTCGGGCCTCGGAATCGAATCAGGCGCGAGCAATGCCGCAGAACTATGTGATCCAGGGTGCCGCTAGCGATTTCCGTTATGTTTCCTTTCTTCGCAACGTTGGACCTCAGGGGGCACCGCGAGGATCGCTCAGCCTGGAACGACCGGCGGCCCTTCGATCACCAAATCGCTCCATACTGGCCGCCCGCGGAGGCGCCGACGAAGCGGCGACGGGACACGAACCTACGATACCTATTGCGCCCTCGCACCGCCAGGCTTGGAGAAGGGCACTTCTCTGCTCGGCGGCGAGCGAGGGGGGGGAAGTGAGAAGGGGCGGACCTTCTCAGAAGGCTCGGAAGCCCCCCTGGCCTTCTGAGAAGCTTTCTGCGCCTTCCCTGGAGACTCAAAAATCTCCTCGGAAGGCGCGGGGGCTTCTGAGCAGTCCCGCCGCCCTCCGAGCAGGCCTTCCCCTTCTCCCTTCCGCTATCTTGCCATCGCTCGGGCGCGCATTCCACGCGCATGTCTAGATGTCGTGCATGTCTTGTTCGTTCGCAAGGTGGTCCAAAATCCTCCTCGATGGTCTTGGCCGACAACAAATGCACACGTCCGGGCGATGCCAGATTAGCGTTGCACCCTGACGACGACGACGCTGACGGAGATGACGGCGACGAGGAGGACGAGGAGGAGAAGCAGGGAGGAGGGCAGAGGAGCATGGATAGGGACAGAGGAGGAGCATGAGGATGAGGATGAGGATGAGGATGAGGAGCGATAAGGTCTAGGATGTCCACCTGACCATCGCTCGGACGTCCACTCCCGGTGCACGTTTCGATGTTGTGCGTGTTGTTTCGCGAGACCTGTGCTCTGTATCCCCAATTAGAGCTTTGCGTGCCCCCCCTCGCTTTTAACCGGAAGAGGCTCGCTCTCGACCCGCAGACCAGAACAATGTTGCTTCGCGAGGTGACCCAAGATGCTCCTCGATGGTGCTCGCGGAGAAGAATACACACGTCCGAGCGTTGCCAAGCCACGTAGTGGCTTTCAACGGGGTCCAGTAGAATCCGTCCACCTCCCCGTCCTCCTCAAACCCGTCTTCGCCCAGCCCGTCCCTCGGCTGCTCGTCGTCCTCGTCGTCGCCCTCACCCTCTGCCTCCACCAGTCCCCCACCACCCTGCTCCCCTTCCCCCACCAATCTCCTACCACACTCCCTGCTGCAATATGGTTCCCAATCCTTACCTCGTGCCTCAGGCATCTTCACTCCCTCTTCCCTCTACTCCTCTTTCTCCTCCTCCTCATCCACCTCCTCCTCCTTTTCCTCTTGCTCTTCGGATTGCTGCTGCTGCGTTTGCTCCTCATTGTTCTGCTCCTCCTTCTCCAGCGCCCCTTCCTCCTCCACCTCCTCCTTGTTCACTGGCTCCTGCTCCCCAGCTGGGCCTTCCTCCCTTCCCCTCCCCCTTCCCCCTTCCCTTCCCTCCGCTCTGTCTTCTGTTTCCTCCCTCCCCGCCGGCCCCGCCCCCCACTCTGCCGTGAACGCATAGGGGTGCGATAAGTGTGGGGAAAGGGGGAGGAAAGGTGCCCTTCTCGGGCCCCGAAGGCCCCCTTTCTGGGGCCCTGCAGGGCCTCGTTTTTGGGGTCCTAACGCAGCCCTTCTCTCGGCAGCCCTCGCTGCCCCCCCAAATGCATCGCCCCTCCCGCTACGCGCCCCCCAACCCCTCCCCCGGGCGCTCCTGTTTCCGGCGCTCCTCCATCTCAGCCTTCACCCTCTTGTTCTCTTCCAGCTGCTCGAGGCCGGTATCGCCTGGGAAGATCGAGCATCGAATGGTTCCGCCCTGCCCTCCCTGCGTCCTTCTCATCTTCCTCCTCCTCCTCCACCTCCTCCCCCTCCTCATCACCATCATCATCCTTCTCATCATTATCATCATCATCATCATCATCATCATCTTCATCATCATCATCATCATCATCATCATCATCATCATCATCACCATCACCATCACCATCACCATCATCATCATCATCATCATCATCATCATCCCTTCTATTGTGTCCCCATCCATCCCTATGATGATCACAGCCGCATCGTCGCATCACAAGCTGAGTCGGCATGGCGGGCTAAGAATTTCTCCAGAAGCACGGATGGAGGGCAATTCGTTTTCAAACTGTGGCTCTCGCCAACAAGCTTCACCAACCTTACAGATGGTGGGTGGATGGCTGTCAACCTGATGTAACCGCCTGAGCGCCACGCATACCCGTCTTAAAAGATCCCAGCGGCAGCGCGGATGGAGGGCGACCTGCCTCGAAAAATGCACGTCCCCCCCCGGAACACCGCGCAAATTCGCCGGGTGATTTCCCAACAATTAGAAAAACTGAAGGCGAATGCGTTTCTTCTTGACTTTGTTCTCGTCTGAACGCCGCGCATATGATCTGACGGTCCGAACCGCTACACGGATGTAGGGCGACTTCTCCCCGAACTGGGGACATCACAGAACATAGCGCCGCCGATGATGAGTGTCGTAGGTGTGGTGCGTCGCAACATCTACACATGTCGAGGACAACGCTAATGCCATCGCCAAAACGACAGGCTCATAGGGGCGTCCGTCCTCCAAGGGGGTGCTGCCCACGATGGCCAAGAATGGTTGCCAAAACACGTGGTCAAGTCGGGGCGGGAGGATATACGCTTCGTCCGCCTCCTCCTCCTAGTGTCACTCGCCAAGCATATCCATATTTGTGAAACATACGAAGCTTTATTTGTACACCGGCCCCAGGCTCGCCTGCCAACGGCTAAGCCGCACCAGGGCCGCCGAGAAGCAGTTGACTGCGCAACTTCCTTTGGTTTCCTTTTTGGTCTAGCAATGAGTATGCCCACTCTTTCGGGCACCCCTGGTCCAGTCCGTCTCCAGCGTTTCGGCGTGTGGTTGGCTATCCTCTTCAGGACCTGCCACAACCAACCACACGGGGCAGGCCGACGCTGTCACGAACGACGCCTCTTTTTCCGACTGCGAAAACACCACGCGTACCTCTTGAATGCAAAGATACACTGTGTCTGGCTGTATTCTGGGACTCCTTCGTACACACCAAAATTGCCAGAAGATGCCAAGCCAGGCTATCGAACCTGCTTCTTTGGCTTCCCAAGATGGGGGGGAACAGCTCCTCGCCCTGCACGTCGTCCCGATCGCTCCCATCCCGGCCCCTCCTCGAAGGCTCCTCTCAACGCCACCCCCTTTTTCCCCACCCCTCTCCCCGTCTCAGCACACCCTCCTGCGACCGGCTCTTTCGTGCCTCCCCTGTCTTCCCCCGATTCCCCCCAATCCCCCACCTCCCCCTGACCCCTTCCGACTACCCACTCTCCTCCTCCACCCTCCTCCTCCACACTCTCCTCCTCCACCTTCTCCCTCCTCCTCCTCCACCTCCACTGGCTCAAACTCGCGTGGGCAAGCCCTGCCGCCGCCGATGCCGTGTACGAAGGGCGCCTGCGCGGCACCACTCGAGGCAGCGCGGCGGCACGCTCGTCGCGGCGCACGGCGCGGCAAGACTGGCGGGCGGCGCGGAATGCCGCGGGGCGGTATGCCTCCTCCGCGCCGCCGACGGCTTGCTCCGTACGGCCGTGGCCGTCCTGGCGGCGCCGCCCGCCCCCCGCCGCGCCTCGGTTGGAGACGGCATCGCCCGCCGCTGCTCTTCGGCGACGGCGCCACCCTCGTGGGCGAAGTGCCAGTGCGGGTGACGGCTTGGTGGAGTCAGCGATGGGGCAGGACTTGGAGGAGATGGTGGGGAGAGCTGCGAAGGGCGACGCAGCGCAAGACGGCGATAAGAGCATGGGCCAGGGCGGCCCGAAGCCGCTGGGCGGATCGGGGGAGCTGGCGCTGACGGCCCTCGAGCCCCCCTCAGTCAACGACGCCCTGGACGACGAGTGGGCAGATGAGCTGCTTCCGCGGCGCATCCTCGTAGAGGACGTCGAGCCGTTCGGGGAGGTGGTGGCCGCGTGGGCGGCAGCGGCTCGAGGCTGCAAGAAGGGCAAGGACAACCAGTAGGGGGCTGGTGCCCCTGCAATCCGCGCTGCCCTTCGGTACGTCCTTCGAAATCTTCAAGCTTGACATCGCATTTAGGGCCGGCCCTTAGTTACTTTCTCTTTCTCCCATTCCTTCATCTCTGATCCCTTGTCCGCCGTCTCCTCCACCGCCCTCCTCCTCCGGCTGTTCCAGCCCCTCCTCGCCCGCAGACCTACCTACAAATTTGCACACGCCCGCTGCCGAAGATATTGGCCATGGCCCCGTACTTGTCCTGCGGGCGGGATGGGGCGAATATGCCTCGCTTATCAGAGGCAGACGTGTATGAGCACGAGGCGTAAGCGCTTCTGAGGAAATGCGTGCTCGGGCACATGTGCACGGTAATACGCACATTCCTAAGACGCCCGTAACGCAGCATACAAAGGCGCTTTGGTGATGTCAGCCACGGTGGACGCACCACGGGAAAATGTTTTGTACTGGTCTCGCTCACCAACAAAGAAGAAATACGTGCATGTTCCGTGCGTTTTACTCTGCGGACTACCTAACTCTCATGCTTTTCAAAAACAAACACAAATCATTTATAGCCTTTATTTGCGATGTTTGGGCGTCAACATACAAAATGCAACACGCGTAATCATCCGTCTCGTGCATCTAGTTGCTTGTCGCCACGACCTCCCTTTACAATGTAATGAATCATTCGCGGGAGATCCAGGAGACCGTGATTCGTTGTCTCAGTCTGTGTCAATTTTCACACTTGCAGAATATGTTCAACCATAAACCAATCCCGACACATACAAGACAGTGGCGCACGTGAACCGTGTCTGGTTGCTGTACGATTAAGGCAGAGAGCGTTTGAGAGACCAAATCGCAATGACAGAAACTGGGTGCACTTCACAAAACGCGGTACCATAGCTCGAACATCGTCAACATGTACATAGGAAAACACAACCATGAACAACAGGGCCGACCATGCGAACTAAACGTGTAGGGAGATGCATACATATGTTTATACACACGTGCATGCATACATACATACATACATACATGCATACATGCGAACACGCACCCATACACATGCATGAATGCATACATGCATGCATGCATACATACATACATGCATACATACATACGTGTGTGACACATAGATGTATCCGCCACCGTGCCGCTGTGGCAAGAGGCGGGGTGTCACCAGGTCCCTCGCTCAACCCCTGAACCTGAATCTTCAATCTAGTGGATTCTTCTATGGGTACTGCCCCCGAAGTCCTAAATCTCCCAGGGCTGCCCGCGTGCCTTATGGGGCGCGCCACGTCTTGTCGAATGACCTGTTCGGGCCCACAAAGGGCATCAACACGGGCCAGCAGTGCCCAACGAGGCCCCCAGGATGGCCCCGGCGTTGCCTGGCATCGCTGGACGATCGGTACAAGACGGCCGCAAAAGACCTCCAGACGGCAGCAAAAACGCCCAACACGTACCACGAGGTCCCCAAGAGCCCTCCCAAGAAGGCCTCGAGGCCCCGAGGAAGCCAACCGCATTGATTGCCGTCAGCCGTTTTCAGCGTTTTGGGGCGTCTACACTGTTCGAACTTGCGACGCTCCAAAACGTCCAAGGCCCCGCAAACCGCCCCAAATGCTCCAGAGGCCCCCAAAAGGGCACCGAGACGGCACAAGAGGGCCCCAAGACGGCCGAAGAGGCGCCCAAGACAGCCCAAGGGGGCCCAAAAAACGGCCCCAAGCGGGGCCCAAAAAGGGGGGGGGGCGCAAACCGAAAATCCGAGCATTCCGCTCCGAGATGCGCCCATGGGCCCCCAAGAGGTCCCCAAGGGGTCCCAAAAGGCCCCCACGAAGCTCCAAAAGGCCCCCACAAGGCCCCCAAGAAGCAAAACGGACACCCCAAGAGGGTCCAATCCAACCCGCCGCCTGCATCCAGGAGGCCCTCTAGCCGCCTCGACGACATCCCAGCGAACATCCAAGCAACCCCAAATCCACAACCCAGGCACGGTGACGAGATGGGCCGACGGCCATCATCATCATTATTATTATTATTATTAGAATTATTATTACCGTCATTAATATTACTATTAATACTATTACTACTATTACTGCTACTACTACTCCTACTCCTACTCCTACTCCTACTCCTACTACTACTACTACTACTACTACTACTACTACCACTACTACTACTACTACTACTACTACTACTACTACTACTACTACTACTACTACTACTACGACTACGACTACGACTACGACTACGACTACGACTACGACTACGACTACTACTACTACTACCACTACTACTCCTACTACTACTACTATTACTACTACTATTACTACTACTACTACTACTACTACTACTACTACTACTACTACTACTACTACTACTACTACTACTACTACTAGTACTAGTACTAGTAGTAGTACTAAACTACTACTACTACTACCACTACTACTACTACTACTACTACTACTACTACTACTACTACTACTACTACTACTATTACTACTACTACTACTACTATTATAACTCGTGTTATCATTACTGTTGTTATCATTATTCGTACTATTATTCGTTATTTTTTAGTTATTGATTTATGTATGGATGTATTCATGTATTGATTCGTTATTATTATCATTGCCATTCTGATGATTACTCGTACTATCGTTATTAAAATATTATGGAGATCGTCCGCGCAGCAGCGGCAGCGGTATCATTATCATTATTATGTGCAGCGGCAGCGGTATCCGGTTATCCGTCCACCCGAAAGACCGATAATCATATAAAAGCTACTCGGTTCATCGGTGTATCGGTTGATCGATCGATACACCGATGTGACTATATCGACTTACCGGCCGATAAACCCACTAACCGACCAACCGATACCCCTGATCTACGAATACAAGCGATTGCTGGCGCGCCTTTCTCTTCGTCGACTGACCGGTTCAAATGTATGTTTCCCTTTCATCCGTTGACCAACAATTCTGAAACCGGTGGGCGCAATTCTGAAGAGTCGATCCTTTCTCGCATATCGGTTTACCGGTTTATCGGTTGTTGGTTGGGCCTTCGCCGCGACGATGGCGGCGACATTGACGGCTCTGGCGCGGCCCTGCGTGGTCAGCGTGACCTCGGTGATTGCGTGGCTCTGGTGAGGAATCTAGCAACGGTCCGAGCTTTCGCCGTCGTGTGCGTTACTTCGCATGGTGGCGCAGGCCATGCGACGGTGTCTGGCGACAGTGTCCAAACCCATTTGGGGCAGGGCATATCCGAGGCAAGAGATCGGAAGATGTCTCTGGGGAAGGCGACCTGACCACCTAAGTTAAAGGCGTATCGGAACCGAGAATGGTGAGGATTTCTCAGGCGAGATTGGCTTGAGCACTCCAATTCAAGGGCTTGAGGATGTCGCAGGCGATAATGGCCGGACCACCATGAGTCGGGTCACCTCCGATGTCAGAGTTGCGAGGGTGTCTCAAGCGAAATTGGCCTGAACACATCAGTTCAGGGCGCGTAGGCAACCACAATTGCGGGGATGTCACAAGCGAACATGGTCAGACCACCGTGGGTCGGGCACCCCCGGTCGTATCCGCGAGGCTATATCAAGCGAAAAAGTCGGACCATCTCAGCTCAAGGCGTCTCGAAACCCAGATACGCGAGGATGTCTCAAGCGAAAATGGCCAGAACACTCAAGTTCAGGGCGTCTCGGCACCAATGGTTGCGGGGAGGTCACGGGCGAGAGGAAATGGTCAAACCACCATGGGGCAGGGCACCTCCGAAATCAGATGCGTGAGGATATCCGGAACAAAAGTGGTCTGAACACCTCAGATCAAGGCGCCTCGGAAACAGGATGTCTCAGGCGAAATGGGCTCGACTACCATGGGCAAGGCATATCGAAATCCAAAGTTGCGAGGATGTCCAAGGCGAAGGTGGTCATATCACTTTGAATTAAAGCATATCGGATCCCAAAATGCCGAATATGTCTCAAGCGGAACGCACCCAAACTTTCTAGAGAAACGTATACTAAACCCGGAATGGTGAAGATGTCCTAAGCGGGGCCGTCTATCAAATCACAACTCGTGGCAAATCGGAACCCACACTTCCGAATCTGTCTCACGCAAAACGGGCCTCCTCCTCCGTCTTTGCCAAAAATGTCTCACGCGAAACGGGCCTCCCTCTCCACCTCCTCCTCCTCCTCGCACTATGCCTGGATGCTAGTCGCCAGCGTGCTGCCCGAGACGCGGGTTGCGAACGCCGGTTTCTCCCCGTCCTCCTCTATGTCCTTTTCCTCTTCCGTCCTCCCCTTGCGTATGGCCTTCCTGCTTCTTCGTTCCCTGTCTCTTCCTCCTCGTCCTCGTCCTCGTCCTCGTCGTCATCCTCGTCCTCGTCCTCGTCGTCGTCCTCGTCCTCGCCCTCGTCTTCGTCGTCATCCTCCTCGTCCTCCTCCTGTGCCGGCCGAGCCGAGCCTAGCCGGCTGGCCAGCCGAAGCGACGATGACGACGACGACGACGACGTCGACGAGGACGACGATGACGACGACGACGACGACGGTGACGGCGACGGTGACGACGATGACGAAAAGGAATGGAAGGGGGGGGGCGCTGCCATCGCGAACGACGCCCCTGTCGCCGTTGCCGTGGCGGGCGCCGCCGCTGGCAAAGCCGCCGCCGCCCCCGCCGCCGTCGCCGATGTCGGCGCCGCCGTCGTTGCCGCCGTCGTCGTCGTCGTCGTTGCTGCTGCCTCCGCTGCGGGATCCGCCGCCGCATCGTCAGGACTCCTGAACCCCCGTCGAGAACCTGCAAGTCTTAGAAAACAAAAAGGGGCTCTGAACACCAAAAGCGGATTTGAAAACGACGGAGGCCCTGAAAACGAAACGCCCGTGAGGAAAGGGCCGCGGATCGGGCGAAAACGGCCTGACCATTTTAGTTCAGGGCATCAGGGAACCGAGAGTTGCGAGGATGTCTCAATCGAAAATGGCCTGAACAGGTTAGTTGAGGGCATATTGGAAGCCACTGTTGCGAGGATGTCGCAAGCTACAGGGGCCAGACCACCATGGGGTAGGGCACCTCCGACGTCAGAGTTGCGTGGGTGTCTAAGGTGAATGTGGCCTGAACACCTGAGTTCGGGGCAGATCCGGGGTCAGAATACTTCAAGGCAGGGCGTATCCGAGGTCATCGTTGCGAGGATGTTTCGCGCGAGTGCGGCGCCAATGTCTGAGCTTGGGGCGTCCCTGAACCAAGAGTTGCAAGGATGCAGCGGGCGAAAGTGGCCAGACCACCGCGGGGCAGGGGGCAGGGCGCCTCCGAGGTCAAACTGGCGAAGATGTATCAGGCGAAAGAGGACTGAACACCTCAGTTCAGGGCGTCTCGGCAGCCAAAATTGCGGGGAGATTACAAGCGACAGTGGCCAAACCATCATGGGCCAGGGCACCTCCGAGGTGAAAGTCGGGGGGGTATCTCAAGCGAACACGGTGCCCACCTCAGCCCAAGGCGTTTCGGAATCCAGAACTTCGAGGATGTCTCCACCGACAGCGACTGGACTACCATGGGGCAGGGTATCTCGGAATCCAGAGTTGCGAGGATGTCTCAGCCAGCAGTGGTCGCATCATCTGAAGTCAATACAGATCGGACCCCACATTGCCGAATATGTGGCAAGCAAAACGCGCCAGAACTCTTAGATATTCGCATATTGGCACCCAGAGTGGCGAAGATGTTCCAAGCGAGACCGTTTAGTTAAGCACAAATCGTGCCCCACCGGGACCCATGCATCCGAGGATGTCTCACGCGAAACGGGACTCCTCCTCCGCCTCCTCCGCTTCCTCCTCCTCCTCGCATTCTGCCTGGCTGCTATTCGCCGGCATGCTGCCCGAGACGCCGCTTGCGAACGCCAGCTCATCCCCGTTTTTCTTCATGTAATTTTCCTCATCCGCCCCCCCCTTGCTTCTTATCCCCCCTGCCTCCTCACTCTCTGTCTCCCTCTCCTCGTCCTCGTCCTCGTGCTCGCCCACCTCTTCCTCCTCCTGGTTCTCCTCTGCCGGCCGTGCCGAATCGAGACGGCGGGCCAGCCGATAATGGAACGAGGACGAGGACGAGGGCGACGAGGACGAGGGCGACGACGACGACGACGGCGACGGCGACGGCAACGTCAACGGAGCAGCTGTCGCCACCGCGCACGCTCACGGTTATCTTCGCGCCCCACGCGAAGCCATCGCGAGGCCACCTTGAAGGAAGGATGCTCTGGCCCGCACAACAGAGAGCGAAGCAATATTATTTTCGCGGCCTTGGGGGAGACCGAGTCCCCGACAGCCGCCGAAGGCCTCCTCCTCCCGCTCCTCGTTGTCCTCCTCCTTCCGCCTCCTCCCTCTCCTCCTGCACGTCCTCCTTTTGCTCGTCCCACTCGACAACATCCCCCTTTTCCGCGCTTTCCTGATGGAGTATGATTAGAAGTAGTAGCATTATGAATAGTATTCGGAGTAGTAGTAGTAGTAGTAGTAGTAGTAGTAGTAGTAGTAGTAAGAGTAGTAGTCGTAGTAATATTAGTAACATGAGTAGTAGTGGAGGAGGTAGTAGTAGTAGTAGTAGTAGTAGTAGTAGTAGTAATAGTAGTAGTAGTAGTACTCCTACTACTACTACCACTACTGCCACTACAACCACTACTACTACTACTACTACTACTACTACTGCTACTACTACTACTACTACTACTACTATTACTGGTACTAGTAGTAGTAGTCGCCGTAGTAGTAGATTTCGTAGTAGTGGTAGTAGTAGTAAAGGTAGTAGTAGTAGTAGTACTAGTCGTAGTAAACGTCGGCATCGTAGTAGTCGTAGTCGTTATCATAGTAGTAGTAGTAGTAGTAGTAGTAGCAGTAGTAGTGGTAGTAGTAGTAGTAGTAGCAGTAGTAGTAATAAAAATAATAATATAAGTAGTAGTAGTAATAAAGTGGTAGTAGTAGTATAAGTAGCAGTAGTAGTAGTAGTGGTAGTAGTAGTAGTAGTAGTAGTAGTAGTAGAAGTAGTGGTAGTAGTAATAGTAATAGTAGTAGCAGTAGCAGTAGCAATAGTGGTAGTAGTAATAGTAGTAGTGGTGGTGGTGGAAGTGGGAGTAGTAGTGGGAGTAGCCGCAGTAGTAATAGTACTAGTTTGAAAAGTTGCGATCGTACAGATAGCAAGAGCAACACAACTACTACCACCTATAAGTCGTCGTGGCAACAACAATGTGAATGTTAAGACGTAGTAGCAATATCAGGTGTAGTTGCGTGGCCAGCAGCAAACACATATGTCGATGCAGCGGCAGGCCTAGCAGTAATAGTAGTTGTCGTCGTAGAAATAGTAATCGTAAAAGTTATAGTAGCAGTAGTAGCAGTCGTAGTAGCAGTAGGAGCAGTGGAAGCAGTAGTAGCATTAGTACCAGTAACAGTAGCAGTAACAGCCTGAGCAGCATTAGCGGGAGCATGTTCGTAGCTGTGGTAATCAAAGAAACATCATCGTAGTAGTAGTAATCGTATTGGTAGAGGGAGGAAGGGAACTAATAAGCAAACCCAATATTTCGAAACATGATACGCGCGAGAGTAACATCGGTAGTAGTAGTAGTAATAGTAGCCGTCGTCGTAGTAGTAGACGTGGTGGTAGTAGTCGTAGAATTAGTGATAGTAGGAGCAGTAGTACTAGTACTAGTACTAGTACTAGTACTAGTACTAGTACTAGTACTAGTAGTAGTGGTAGTAGTAGTAGTAGTAGTAGTAGTAGTGGTAGTAGTAGTGGTGGTAGTAGTGGTAGAGACGGCAGTCGCAGCTGCAGTGGCAGTAACAGTAGCTGTAGCAGCAGTAGTTGCAGTGGTCGCAATACCAGCAGTAGTTGCAGCAGCCGCAAAAGTAGCAGTAAGTAGCAGTAGTAGCAGTAGAAGTAGCCGTAGCAGCAGCAGCAGTAGTAGCAGTGACAGCAGCAGTAGCAATCGAAGCGGTAGTAGCAGAAGTAGGACTAGTGACACTAAAAATAGCAGTAGTAGCAGTCGTAAACAACGTAGCAGTAGTAGCAGTAGTCGCAGTCGCAACAGAAGCAGCAACAGAAGCAGTATACATAGTCGTAGTAGTGTTGGTAGCAGTAGTGCTACTTGTAGTAGAAGTAGTCGTAGTAGCAGTAGTAGTAGTAGTAGTAGTAGAAATAGTAGTAGTTGTAGTCGTAGTACTAACGTGCGAGTAGTAGTAGTAGTGGTAGTGATCGTTGCAGTAGTACTGGTACTAGGTGTAGTACTCGTAATAGAAGTAGTAGATAGTATATAGTAGTAGTAGTAGTAGTAGTAGTAGTAGTAGTAGTAGTTGTAGTAGTAGTAGTAATAGTAATAGTAGCAGTAGTAGTAGTAATCGTAGTAGTAGTAGTAGTAGTAGTAGTAGTAATAGTAGTAGTAGTAGTAGTCGTAGTAGTAGTAATAGTAGTAGTAGTAGTCGTAGTAGTAGTAGTAGTAGTTGTTGTCGTCGTCGTAACTGCAGTAGCAGTAGTAGCAGACTCCGCACAAATAAACAGATTAACCCATACACTGATTAACCGCGACACGTACCGATCAAACCAATAAACGGATAAACGGATAAACCAACCCTGCACGGAGATCCCGACACGCTGGCAAAGGACGGGTGTACCTGTTGATAGATACATTGGTTGATCGACCGATTAACCGATACAATATTATCGGTGTATTGGTCGATCAAGCGATAGACCGGTCAACCGAAATAGTTGATCGGTCCATCGGTTAATCGGTTTATCGTTTTGTTGTTGATGTCCTGCGGCTGCAATATCATTAGTGTTTTTTTGTATTATCTGTCCATATGCAAATGTACATGCACATGCAAATATACATACATGCATACATACATACCGGCCGACTGACCCGACTGACCTACATGCACACATACATACATAAACACATGCATGCATGCATGCATGCATGCACACATACACACATACATACATACCTGCATGCGTATTTACATATATAAAGGCATACATACATGCATACATACACACATACACGCATAAGTGCACACCTGCATCCATACATGCATGCATGCATGCATGCATGCATACATACATACACATATATATATGTCATACATACGTACATGCATACATACATACCGACCTACCTACCTATTTACCTACATGCCTACCTACCTACATGCGCACGCAACGCGATAAAACACCACGACTAGGGAGGACCTGGAAAACCACTTGAGACAACAGTAACCGTCCCGGCAACTGTCCCGCCCACCCAAAATCCACTCAACGCCGGGGCCATCCCGATTTCGCTTTCGAGGCAGACCCGCCCGTGGCGACGAGAAACATCCAGGAGGCCCAGAAAGAGCATAAAAATGCCGGGAGCGGCCGCCATTGCCTCGACTAGCCTTCCGCCGACAGGGGCATTGAGGCTGAGGAGGAGGGGGAGGAGAAGAATTACCAAGCTCGATATAGGCTTCAAGGGTACCTAAACCCAGCTTTAAGGACGAAGGGACAGTCGGAGAAACGCTGGTGCCTGCGAACTTGCAGGAAACTCCGAGTCCAGTATTTGGCCAAGAGCAGAACACATCCTCAAAAGCGGAGGTATGGCAGAAAGCTCTCCGCCAGTGAGGAGAAGGAGGGCAGAGGGGGCGCCGAAGGGCGAACGAGGGCCCCCTCCTGGAACCTGGTGAGCGAACCGGCGTCCAACATCACCTTGTTCTTCTTGCCCTGCCACACTGGGTGAGCGCCCGACCAGATGTCGACCTCGCAACAACCGCCCAATTCTTGATCTCTGCATGCATAGTGTCAATACTGATACGACTATAAGGAACACCAATATAGAATCATCCCGCTGTTGGGTACCCGAAGCACCTGCGTACACAAGGGGCGTTATGTGGGACAACCACGGAAGGACCAAAAGAACACCAAGCCCCCTCCGAACCCGAACTGGTCCTCACGTTAGCGTGTTGACTGTAAGCCCGCCGATCCATCAGCAGTACCTAGCGTGTTGGATACTTGTCCGTCCCCAATTGCTCCCCCGTGAGCGCGGCCCAGCTGGTGTGGAAGGCGAAAAGGGGTTACGACCCGATTGGCCACATTCAATACGGAAGCCGGACGGCCTCAAACGGCAGCGACATGGCCCCGAGGGGCCCCATTGCCCAAGATGGCCTCCACGTGGCCACCTATGGTCCCATGACGCGCCAATATGACTTGAAGACACTCCAAGCAACTCCCAGGACACCCCCAGAAGGCTCCAGGAGAACTGCCAAGAGGGCCCTTCAGAAACACAAGTCGCCCAAAGAAGGAAATCACACGTTTGTAATTATATCGCGCGACTTCTTGGCCTCAACCGCGCGCCCGACCGCTCAAGAGGCCCCACAAATCCCCCCAACACGGCCCAAGAGGCCCCAACAATTCCCCAACACGGCCAAGGACGCCCCCACGACGGCCAAAAAAGGCGTCCCCAAGACGGCCTCGGAGATGCCCCCGAGACGGCCCCGAAAGCGGCAGGCGGCTCCAGAGCGCCCGGAGGCGACCCACGGAGGCCCCAGGAGGCGTTTGAAGAGCTTTCAAGAAACCCCAAATTCTCTACCCGGTCCAGACAATCACCCCGCGAAGCATCCGAAGAGGCCCCAAGTTGCCTTCACGACGCCGACACGGGCGCGTCAAGAGGCCTCCCAGAAGGTCACATGGCTAAGGATCCTTAAGCGCCTTGGCGGTTGATGCCAAGCGCCTTCACTTTCTGTGTCTTCACGTCCATCGGTTCACGTCACCCTCCAACCATTTCATGGGTTACTGGGTTACTCGGCAGACAGTGTGCTGTAGAAGCACAGCGCACTGTGCTACAACAATATTACGCAGGCCTCCTCGCTGCCCTGAGTTCACGGCCCAGGGGTGGGATAGTTGAAGAGTTGGCTATCATAAGCTCCGTCCCAGGCAGGAGCCTCCTCTTGAGCTTCCTGTTATCAGACGATACTTTCCCGTCGCGCATACCGCGGAGCTTGTGGCCTGCCTTGCAGGTGATGAGCACCACGCGCAGTGCAGTGCACAACACGAAACCCCACGCGATGCGAAAGTTACGCGATGCGAAAGTTACGATGCGATGCGCGGTGCAGTCCTCGACCCAGGCGATGCGAAAGTTACGATGGTCCCTCGGGCCCCGCCAAAAGACTTGTCTGTCAATACAATAGTCGTGAGCCAGAGCACCTGGACCAGCGTGGTACACGACAAGACAGTTACCCCTGCAGAGAATCTTCAACTCTTCACTAAGTATAGCGTCCTCTTCCTGGTATCCGCTTGCTTTAGCTAAAGCGCGGGGGGCTGCAGGGAGAAACCTGGCCACTTCTCTCCAAACATGGGCCTGGACATCGCCCCGACAAAGCCCAAGCAAAAGCCCAAGCAAAAGAAAACGACGCGTTTAACAGAGTGGCATGGTCCCAAAAAGAGGCCGCCTGAAACACAATTGTCTTCACTGTGCACGCAAGCCAGCAGAACCGCGCCATGTTCGGCGGTTCCATTGCTTTGAACCATCGCTCCAGGCAGCGGGTTCCGAGGCCCACAGATCAGTGCACGTTTTTTGTCTAACCTGGACCACGCTAACTCCCGCACGCGAAGGAAGTGGATGAGGCGCACAAAAAGGCACAACCCATCAGTTGCGCACCCGAGGGGGATCGAACGGCGGAACCTCGCCCACACCAGGGCCAAACGACGTCGCTTCCCAATCACAAGCGAGGGGCCCCGAGCTGACACCCACGGCTATGCAGCAAGGATACTGGCCCGTCCTCGAGCGCAGCTTTGGACTCACGCGGGGAGGCGCCTTCCCTGCCAGCTGTGGCACGCGGGCAACTACATGTCAGGACGCGGCGCCAAAGGATGCCCGCCTCCCCGCGGCGCCCGCGCAGTTCGGACACATCGTAGCCCCGGAATTTTTGAGGTAGGCCCCGTGGGGAGAGTGCCACAGCAAACATTGGCGAAACTTGACCTGCTCGAGATGGCCTAACTCTACCTTGCGCGAAGCGAGCAGCTGACGCGAAAATTCATGCCACGAACCATTGGACCCGAAGTCGGCCGCGTCGTGCGAAGTGTTCGGGCACGCAGTTCGTGCGTGCTCTTGCACGTACAAGTCCGCCAATTGTCCCATGAACTTGCGAGCGACTAGAAGCGGCGGAACTTCAATTCAACTTTAAAACGACACCCAATAATTCAAATCAAAACACCTGGCCCATGGTCACCCCATCGGGCCTCAACAAGCCGGGGGAAAGCGTCAGACATCGGCCCATGGGTCTGGATAAGCTCGAATTTGAAACTTGCCCACACCTGGGCAGCACCGCGCGCTCTCGGGAGCGCGGCGACACTCGGGGCATTTCGGTGGGTCACTTCAGCAGAAAAGATTGAAATCGACGTCCACCACTCCGCAACCATTCTGCCAACCGCCATGGCAGCCATGTCGATCGGATCCACATTGTGGCTGAGACTCCAAGCAAGATCGAGCTGCGCCCCCGAGGACGTCAGTCCTGCACCGCGACCAGCGGAGCCTGGCTAAAAGCGTGGATCTCGGCTACTTAGGTGATTGTGGGCTTTGAACTCGTTTGAGATGATATGTTGCGATGTCCTGGTTAGACTTCGCACGCTTCATCCGAACTCGTTGCTTACTATGTTGGCTGAGTCGTTCATGTCGATTACGGTTGGCTCCTGGTCTCAGCTTGCGTCGCCCTCCAAGATGGTCGATCCTAAGATTAGTTTCGGTTCCAGTGGGGAGCTGAGGCCCGCATAGGTCCCCCAGGGCTTGGCAGGCAACTTGGAGGAGGGGTTCGCTGGAGGCTGCCAAACCGAACTTCTGGTTGGCCATTGAGATCGAGGTCTTGAATTAAGTACTCGTGGACCGATACAGCGAACTGTTCTAGGCGACTGGCGACGTGCAGCGCAGGGGGCGGCAGACCGTCTCCGCATCTCACCATCATTGGGGGATACGAAGTCCCTGGAGACGGGACGGGGTGGGCATGGGTTTGTATCATAAGCGGGCCCACTGCCAACAGGAACCACCATAGCTTCTACGTCACAGCAAAAGAGTGATCCACGGACGGAACCAAGTCGTCTTCCTTTCACTGGCATCGAACTCATGCGAAACAGCATGCTCTCCCCTGGTGAGCCGCGAACGGGACCCATTCCCCTGCCGGCCGTCCAATGCCAGTCATTGCATCGATGGACTTCGTTGAACTCAAGGGAGGGGGGAAGGGTCTCTGCCTGTGTCTGCCTGTCTGTCCTGCCCCTCCTTTTCTGTCCCTCTCTCCCTCCCCCTCTCGTCTCTGGCTGCTGCTACTTCTGTTTGCCCCCTTCTCCTCCACTACGCCGCCATTTTCGATCGAAAAAACAGGCTGCACCGCATCGCTGGGAACACGTTCCCGCTGAACCCCCCGCGCACTTCCGACCTACATGGCTACATGGCGGACCACCAGGACGACGTGCACTAGTCGCGGTCGGCCGTGGGTGCCAACAGCCACTACGACAGCCACCACCGCAACCCTTCCCAACAGAAGGATGGGGCGCACCGGGGCCGCCACAGGTCCAGATCCAGGGGGCGGGACTACCACAGACCCGCCCCAAGTGGCCGCCATGAGGCCACGGGTGGCCGCCGTGAGGTCACAGGTGGCCGCCGTGAGGTCACGTCTGGCCGCCATGAGGCCATGGGCGGCCGTTGCGAGGTCCCCGCTCTCAAATCCCCACTAACCCTGCGCAGTACGTGCAGACCGTTTCCCCATCCCACCATCATAGGGGATGCGAAGTCCCTCTAGACACGGTACCGGGTTGAGCATGGGTTGGTATCATAAAATGGCCCACTACCAACAAGAAGCAGCACAGCTTCTACGTCACAGCAGAAGAATGATCCACTGACGGATCCAAGTTGGCGCTGCTCCAGCATGGTGCCCTGCGTTGTCGTATTATCGGCGTCCTCAGCCCTGCCGCTTCTTCGACGTTTTCGTGGGCTGCACCGCCGGCGTCTCCTCCATGTTCGCTCCATGCTCCCAGCCGTGCCGAGACGCAGTCCTCGGCAGACGGCGCGATGCCGCGCTGTGCTGGGACGCAGCCCTCGGTAGACGGCGCGATGGGCTCCATGTTGGGGGGCGGAAAGATACGGATACGTGTTGTCCCCGGACCTCTCTTGGGATGCGTTCTGACCAGAATTTCGAGGCGAATCCAGCGGTGACAACGAGGATTCCCCAGGAGGACCAGGAAAGGCCGAAAACGAAGGGGGACAACACGTATCCGTATCTTTTTCTCCCCCGACCATGGGCTCGGTCGAGGCCAACGCCCGTCTCTGGCCGAGGCAACAGCGGAACCGCTGTGGCATCGGCCTGCGCCTGCCAGGTGTGCGGCACCCCGCGAATCACCAGCCTTGCCAATTTCGGCGCGCGGCCGCCGCGGCGTGCGCCGCCGCCTCCAGTGCGCGACGTCCGTCGGTGCGCCGAGGCGGAGCACTGCTCGTCTGCTGCTCCAGCTGTGCACGCCTTGCGTGTCATTGGCTCCACAGATGCGAAACGCGATGTTGGCCTTGGTACGTGCTCTTTCCTCGGCCCGGTGCGCAGATGATCGAATCGCTTCTCCGCCGCCGTCTCGTCGTGCATGTCGGGCTGGGGGCCAAAGATAATCTTCCTACCCTTCTCAGGAAGATCGACCGTTGTGCCTCTATGTCCTAGCGCTGACTTGCAAGAGGCGCAAACGTGTCGAACATATCAGGTATGTGTCCCAGCCGTACTGTCTCCGTCGTTTCTGCCCTCCTCACGAGATTGGAGGGTTGATATCTGTGTCCCAATCTCACTCTCTCCTTCGCGGTACATGTAGATACCTCCTCCCTCCATCCCTCCCCCTCCCGAGTGGCCGAATGTCCGCGATACGGTAGTCTACCCTGTATACGGCACGATGCCGGCCCAGCTGCTTGATTTTAAGAGAGGGATCTTTCAGAGGAATGGTGACATGTGAGCGGGAAGGACACGACTCCCTGGTGCCCGTGCAGAAGCTAAGTCGACGTCATTCATTATCTGAGAATTGCGTGCCAGCCTCTGCTGATAGGCTCATGGCTTAATGAACGCCGAACTCCAACATCATCCCTCCCTCCCTTCTTCCATCGCCATCGTTAAAGCCGCGCTCCCCGAGACCTTGTACTCCTTAATGGTGCCGTTAATCGCGGTCACCTCGGGAGGGGAGGCCACGGAGTCAGGGGCGAGGGATGAGGCCGAGAAGGAGAGATGGGGGAAAAGGGCGAAGGAGAAGGGAGGAGGAGAAGGACTAAGCACAAAAGGACCAGGATGAAGAGGAGCAGGAAAAGGAAAGATACGGGAGAAAAGATGAGGAAGGAGGGGGAGGATAAGGACGGAGCAGAGGGAAGAGGTAGGAGGAGAGGGGGGATAATGAGGAAGGAACAGGGGGGTAGGGGGGAGGACTGTGCGACCCGCTGTATGATTACTAAAGCGCTTTCTTGAACACTTTCCTAGTGTTTGGAGTTTTTGATTTCAACAAAGATCATCACATTGAATTGCCCACAAGCAAAGACAATGTAAAGTCTATTTTGAAATTGTTCTTGCTTCTACACGGTTTCCAGAAGCATCGACAATCATAATCAATGTGTAAGCCATTTACACATCGATTATGATTGTGAGGATTTCCAGAGGCAGCGCCTTGGGGCCGCGGGAGCTCACCAGGAAAACAGGAACACATGAAAAAAAACATGCTTCCACATGGAAAAATAGGAAGCAGTAAGGACAACCTGTGACTGTCGCCATTTTTAATGGTGAAACCAAAGAAAACGCTGACAGTCACAAGTTGTCCTTGGTTTTTCTTATGTTTTCATATGAAAACAAAAAATTCATTGGTTTTCCATATTTTCCAGTGTGGAAACGCAAGTTTTTTATTGTGTTGCATGTTTTTTCTTGTTGTCCTGGTAAGCTATCGCGGTCCCAGTTTTCCTCCAGCGCCTGGGGGCCGCGGAAACTTACCAGGGAAACACAGAAAACATGATAAACCAAAAAAAAAAAACTGTTTTTTTACATTGAAAATATGATAAAGACAAGAACACCTGTGACTGTCGCCATTTTTATTTGTGAAACCAAAGAACACGCTGACACACAGGTTGTCATTCGATTTTCATATTTTCTATATGGGAACACAGGTTTTCCTTGGTGTTCCTCACTGTTCCCTGTGAAGACACATGTTTTCTATTGTGTGGTCTTGTGTTTTTCCCTGTTTTTCCTGGTAAGCTTCCGCAGCCCCGAGGCGCTGGAGGAAAGCTGGGGTGGCGGAAGCTTGCGAGGAAAACTACAAACACATAAACACAAACAATAAAAAGCACGTGCATCCACATGGAAAAATAAGGAAAACCAGGGAAAACCCATGTTTTCATTTAGAAAAAAAAGAAAAAACAAGGACAACCTGTGACTGTCAGCGTTTTCTTTGGTTTCACCGTTAAAAATGGCGACGGTCTCAGGTTGTCCATACTGTTTCCTTTTTTTCCATGTGGAACCATTTTTTGTTTTTTTTTGTTTGTTTCCAGTTGTTCCTGTTTTCCTGGCAAGCTCCCGCGACCCCAAGGCGATGCCTCTGGAAATCCTCACATTCAGAATCAATTTGTAAGATTATGATTGTCGATGGTTCTGGAAATCGTGCAGAAGCAGGAACAATTTCGAAATAGACTTTACATTAATTCTGCTTGTAGGCAATTCAGTGTGATGATCTTTGTTGAAATAAATTAGCGTGGCGAAGGACCCAACCATATGCAGCTGCGAGTACCGCGCGGATATGAGACGAAGGAGGGAGCACGCAAACTAGGCCCCTCTTCTCATAGGCACCGCGCCACTGGGGCCTTCGGTGGAGCTCCCAATGGGGCCACGAAACGTGTGAAGGGTGTGCCGAAACGGGTGGTGGGGAAGCATGCAGACCGTGCAACTGGGGCCTTCGGTGGAGCTCCCTATGGGGCCACGAAACGTGTGAGGGGTGTGCCGAAATGGGTGGTGGGGAGGCATGCGAACGCAGCCACTGGGGCCTTCGGTGGAGCTCCTTATGGGCCACGAAACGTGTGAGGGGTGTGCCGAAATGGGTGGTGGGGAGCCACTGGGGCCTTCGGTGGAGTTCCCTATGGGGCCACGAAAAGTGTGAGGGGTGTGCCGACATGGGTGGTGGGGAGGCATGCGAACGCAGCCACTGGGGCCTTCGGTGGAGCTCCCTATGGGGCCACGAAAAGTGTCAGGGGTGTGCCGAAATGGGTGGTGGGGAGGCATGCGAACGCAGCCACTGGGGCCTTCGGTGGAGCTCCCTATGGGGCCACGAAGCGTGTGAGGGGTGTGCCGAATGGGTGGTGGGGAGGCATGCGAACGCAGCCACGGTTCGGTGGAGCTCCCTATGGGGCCACGAAACGTGTGAGGGGTGTGCCGAAATGGGTGGTGGGGAGGCATGCGAACGCAGCCACTGGGGCCTTCGGTGGAGCTCCCTATGGGGCCACGAAACGTGTGAGGGGTGTGCCGAAATGGGTGGTGGGGAGGCATGCGAACGCAGCCACTGGGGCCTTCGGTGGAGCTCCCTATGGGGCCACGAAACGTGTGAGGGGTGTGCCGAAATGGGTGGTGGGGAGGCATGCGAACGCAGCCACTGGGGCCTTCGGTGGAGCTCCCTATGGGGCCACGAAACGTGTGAGGGGTGTGCCGAAATGGGTGGGGAGCATGCGCGCACTGGGGCCTTCGGTGGAGCTCCCTATGGGGCCACGAAACGTGTGAGGGGTGTGCCGAAATGGGTGTGGGGAGCATGCGGCGCAGCCACTGGGGCCTTCGGTGGAGCTCCCTATGGGGCCACGAAACGTGTGAGGGGTGTGCCGAAATGCGGTGGGGCCTTCGGTGGAGCTCCCTATGGGGCCACGAAACGTGTGAGGGGTGTGCCGAAATGCATGCGAACGCAGCCACTGGGGCCTTCGGTGGAGCTCCCTATGGGGCCACGAAACGTGTGAGGGGTGTGCCGAAATGGGTGGTGGGGAGGCATGCGAACGCTGCCACTGGGGCCTTCGGTGGAGCTCCCTATGGGGCCACGAAACGTGTGAGGGGTGTGCCGAAATGGGTGGTGGGGAGGCATGCGAACGCAGCCATTGGGGCCTTCGGTGGAGCCCCCTATGGGGCCACGAAGCGTGTGAGGGGTGTGCCGAAATCGGTGGTGGGGAGGCATGCGAACCTTGGAGGGAGGAGGGCGAGGAGAAGGAGGAGGAGCAGGAGGAGGAGAAGGAACGCGGGGACCGTTTCTTCAAAACGAGGACCCAACACCACAGGATGGTTGGGAAAAAACATCTGGTTGTAATCGCACGAACGGAGGGTCCTACGGGGGAGGAATCTGGGAGGAAAAGGCAACTGAGGCGTTCCAGGGGCTCCAAAGGGGTGGTGGGGACGCAGACGTGGGTTCCCTTCTGCCCCTGCTCGCCTTCATCCGCCCCTCCTCGCCTTGTCCTCCGTCCCCCTCGTCTCCCTCCCCCGGATGCCGCGGCAGCCTTCAGCGACTGCAGGAGGAGGTTCCCAAGCGGCGTCGTCGGCGCCGTCGCCGACATGAATGCGCTTCTGGAAGTTTTCGTCGCCACGGCTGGACGCGGCTCACACGACTGGCTGGAACGGGCCCTGGAGAGGCCTGGCGCCCGGGCGTCGGATTTGAAAGGGTTTTTTGCTGGCAGCGGCGCCGAGGCCAGGAAGGTGGCCTTCCAAGAGCGCTGTGCACTTATAAAATCTGGATGCGTTTAGAAATATGAAATGGAAGCCACTAGTTCTGGTGCAAACTCAAAGTGCCCCCCTCCTGGATGTGCACGCCCTGGACTTGAGATGTGGGCGCCATTGTAAGCTCAGGGGGGGAATGCTGGACGAGTGCCTTTCGACCCCGCAGGGTTCCCCGGATTGTGCTTCGAGTGTTTAGCGCGCCGTCTGGATCCAATCGACAAGGCAATCAACGCACGTAAGACAAAAAACCTAAACAACAAAACGAAGGCGGATGCGGTTGTTTCGTAACCGCAGAACAGCGATGGTGCTTACAAGCGCACGCATCCCCAATGCTGTGGGGGTGGGCGGATCCGTGCCCAGCGACCCACTGAGAAAGCGGCCCAAAGCCAAGTTCGGTTGGGCTGCGCCGGCCCACCGTCGGAGGCCCCCGAAGAGGCCTCCCCGAAATCGTCGAAGGGTTCGTCTGGCCCCTCCTCGGGTATGTTCTGGAGGACTCTCGCCCCCTCAACTCGGATGGCGGGGGGTTCTTCCTCATCAGCCCTCCTCCTTTTCATCCTCCTCCTCCTCCTCCTCCTCCTCCTCCTCCTCCTCATCACCATCATCACCATCATCATCATCATCATCATCATCATCATCATCATCATCATCATCATCATCATCCTCATCCTCATCCTCATCCTCATCCTCATCATCCTCATCATCCGCCTGTTCCTCCTCCTTCCTGGTCCCTCCTCCACCCGCTCACCCTGCTGCTCCACCTCCTCTTGCTCCCCCTCCGATTCCTGCATCCTCCCCCTTGGAGGGGCACGACGTCTTACTCAGCCCATTATTCCGCTGCTTTCTCCTCCACATCCATGACCAGGGCAACTCATCTGGGCATCGTTTCTGGATCGGCTGGTGGGGTTCATTTTCCGTCGCGGCCACAAGCGGAAACGCAGGCGGTGTCCGAGCAGGCTACGAGCCAAACCTGATTACCTAAACGCGCGAACTGACGGCCGCCGAAACTGCCGCCGAGGAGCGACGCCGGGGACTGAAGGCAGAGCTGCAAGAGGCGCCAGGTGTGCCAAGCGGCTAAAGTGCAACCGTTCCAAGGGCGAGACCACCGGGAAGGCAAACGAATTGTGACTTGTCGCGCCAGGCGCCAGAGGTAAGCGAGCCACCCGAGCTAAGCACGGCTTAGCGTGGGGCTGATCAAGCAGCCCAACGTACAGCTGGTGGGGTTACTGTTTGATTGCGAGTGGCGCGGAATCAGCCGCGCACCGTTAAAGGGTCGAACAGCACAGGGCCAAGGCGTACAGCGCAACTGTCGCCAGCGAATCGCAGGAACAGAAGGCCACGATGGTGGCGAAAATTGCCAGGCGATGCGCAGCGGCAACGCGGCAGAGGCGAGGGCGAACGAAGAAACAAGCTGGTGGGGTTACGCGAGGCGTCTTGAATCTGTTAACGAGGAGGACGAGGAAGACAACGGCACAAACCTACAAACACATAATCTAAAACCTAGAACAACCCGGCCTGGCGAAGCGGTGGGGGAACGCTAGCGAGGAGGGGTCGGTTAATCATATGCGGTCGATCCGAAGGTGACAGCGTGAGATATTGGGTTGGGAAGGACAAATATAAGGAGGGAGGCGAGGGAGTGAGGAGGAACGAGCGGCCATGAGGGAGACAGGGGAGGGATGAGGAAGGGGGAAGGAAAAGGAGGATGAGGAGGGGAACGGGAATGATGAGGGTGATGGGCAAAGGGTGGGGCGGGGGTGGCGGGGATGATGAAAGGGGAGCGCGGTCAAGAGTAGCAGGATGATGCTGAGGAGTGCGAGAAAAAGGATGATAATTGGAAGGGGGGAGGCGGAGGAGGAATAAGGGGGATGTAGAGGTGGAAGGACAATGGAAGGGAAGGGAACAGCTGTACCGTCCAACCTGAACCACCAGGGATGCCGTCCAGGTTCACACTCGAGCTGGGGCCATCTGCGTAGCTCACAAACCCTGGTCCCGCCTCCACCCCCCCACTCCCCGGCCCCCTCTCGCTTCACTGACCCCTTTCTCCCTTCCTCCTACACCTCCATATCCCAACCCCCCTACAACCCACCCTCAACGACATTCCCTCTCACCGTCCCCTCCCGCTCTTGGTCCATCATCACCCTAGCCCTCCTCCTCTCCCCCCTCCCCTCCCCTCCCCTCCTCATCCCTTCTCGTCCCTCCTTTCCCCTCCCCCTCTCCCCGTCGCATTCCCCATCCCCACTCCACTTCCTCACTCCTCTCCTCCTACTCCTCCCTAACCCTCTCCCCCCTCCCCGCCCCATGAATTTCTTTGTTTCCCACTCTGCTCGGCCGTTCCGTTGTGTTTATTCCACAGGCGGAGTGGCCACGTTCAAGGACACAAGCTCGAACTTCTATACCCCGATCGACAACGAAACCCACCTCTAGAATGCCTCAACTGTGATCCTGAATTGCACGACTGCTTGTTTCATCGGACTGCTGCTACATTGCTTCAAGGAACCGAAAGACAAGGTTGATTTTCGGACCGCTGCTTCGAACCATCTCGAGGCGTTTAAGCTTGCTGGCGGTTCGAAACAGAGCCTCCCAAAAACACTTGCGTCGCGGTGCGAGCACGCCCCCAAGATCCAGAGGTCTCTGCCTAGAGCTTGCGACGTGGAGTCCTCGAGTGCCAAGCGAGCCCCGACTAGATCCGAACGTCAACTGCCACCACTAAACGAACAGGCAAGCAAGTTCAACCAAGACATGCAATCTCGGTCAGCGGTGTCTTGGGCATACGTGGGAAAAGGAAAGGAACATGGACGGACTGGGCAAGGGGCTAGGGCGGGAGGGGATGGGGAGAGGGACGAAAAGGGGGAGGGCACGGAGAGAGGGCCTTCGGAGAGGCAGGAGGAAAACGAGAGAGGAAGCGACCTAGCGGCTGTGACATGTTTCGAAATTTCCGCAATGGCTGTTCTGTTTAGTGCATGGCAAGCGGGTCTGCCGCCAGTGAGGCTCGAGTTGGCACGACCGCTAGCGAACGACAAACCATGCGGTTCACCGTCCACTGCTTGTCAAAATGCTTCCTTCGAACCATGTACCACGGAGATTAATCCCACAGGGATAAAAAAAATTCGGGGTCGCGGGGGGACTATAAATGTTGCCTACCGGAGGCCAGCATGTGGGAGGAGAAAGAGATGATGCTAAGATGACCGAAAACCGAGGACCGAGGATCGATAATCGAAGTCCGAGCATCGAGATCCCAGAGTCGAGGATCGAGGTCCGAGGATCGACGGCGGCGAGGTCCGAGGATCGAGTGTCGAGGTCCGAGGGTCGAAAATCGAAGATCGAGGTCCACGGTGCCAGGGGGAGAAGGAGGAAGACAGAGCGAGACAGAGACAGAAATATACAGATAGTTAGAGAGAGAGAGAGAGAAAGAACAAAACAAAAAAGTAGAGAAAGGTAGACAGACAAAAGGAAAGGAGAAGGAGGAGGAGGAGGAGGAGAAACGCCAAAGTTCCAAACCTATTAAGTTTAATATGTAAAAGAACAATGGATATTCAGATTCTCATCTGCTCGTGTAGGGTAGCTCACGTGCCTCGGTCTTCGTGAATAGAAAAGCAAAGCGGTAAAACAGTTCAGGGTGCCAGGGGGAGAAGGAGGAAGACATATCGAGGTAGATATAGAAATATACATATGGCTCGACAGAGAGAGAGAGAGAGAGAAGTAGAGAAAGATAGACAGGCAGAAGGTGAGAGAGAGAGAGGAGGAGGCGGAGGAGGAGGAGGAGGAGGAGGAGGAGGAGGAGGAGGAGAGGAGGAGGAGGAGGAGGAGGAGGAGGAGGAGGAGGAGGAGGAGAAAGTCTCTCATCGACAGGTCTCTCGCTTCGCTTGGGACATCCTCGAAGAATTGTTGGTTCCGCTTGAGAAATCCTTGAAACATTGATCGTTTCGCTTGAGACTGCCTCCAAAAATTGTTGGTTTCGCTTGAGGCATCCTCGAAAACGTCTTCGCTTCGCTTGATGTTGCTATCTCAACATAAGAAGGAAATTAATCTCGATGGTGAACTTTTCACAATGAAAAAAAGTTCGGCCTCCGCGCCCCGCGCCCCTGACCAAACTCTTCTTGGCCGTGGATAATCAACTCTAGCGTGGAAAGGGGGTCCTTTAATATCATCGGCATGCGGTTACTTGTTATCCTTAGGATCCTCCCGCACCCTCCCTCACTGTCAGCATCCATCCTTCTCTGCCTCCTCCATCCTCTCGCCATGGTGTCTGTTACTGATGCCCACTACTTCTCACAATGGGAAATGCTTGCGCTCGACACGGGAGCGGTGTGGACCCAACTTACTCCGCAGAACACACCCAAACACTCCCCGTAAATACTCCCAAAGCACCCGGGCACTCTGCTGCCAACAGAGATTCTCCATCTTCCAATCAATGAAACGCTACCGCCCTCTTAATCCTGGGCAATCTCCCCCCCTCCCGCTCCCATGTCCTAAAGGGGGGTGGACGGCTGCCCTACGGACAAAGAAAACGTCTGCCCCCCCCCGACAACCCCGTCCTGATGGCTTTCACATGTGAGTTGCGTGTTGCCGGGTGTTGCTAGAAGCGCTCATGGCCCATCGCGACCCCAGGATCCTCGAAGAGACCCCCGCGACGTTCACAGAGAACCCGCCACGAGGCCCAGAGAGGGGCCCCAGAGGCTCTAAGAGGAAGCGAAAAGCTGTGGGCACCTTGGGCCAGGGGCACTCTTCCTCCTCCTCCTCCTCCGCCTCCTCCTCCTCCTCCTCCTCCTTCACCTCCTCCGCCTCCACCTCCTCCTGCCCCTCCTCCTCCTTCTCCGCCTCATCCTCCTGCTCCTCATCCTTCTCCTCCTCCTGCTGTTCCCTGTCCTCTCCTCCTTCTCCTCCTCCTCCGCCTCCTCCTCCTCCTGCTCTTCCTCCTCCGCCTGCTGTTCCCTCTCCTCCTCCTCCTGCTCCTGCTCCTGCTCCTGTTCCTGCTCCTCCTCCTCCTCCTCCTCCTCCTCGAGGACAAGCCGGCGCGGCAAAAGGCACGGCCGCAGCCCCTCCCGCCCGCCCCCCCCCCGGGGGGGGGGCGGCCGCCGTGCTCCACCCGCCGTGGCCTTCCCCCGACGCGCCCGCGCGAACGGGTTCAGACGCCCGAAGTGGGCACGGCGCGCCCGCGCGAACGGGTTTGGACGCCCGCGCGAACGGGTTTGGCGCGCGGGCAGCGAGTCCTGTTCAAAATGAACAGGAACTGCTGTTGGGCATCGTACCCAATCTTTCCGTGCCCATCTCGTTCGTGCAGAAACGGGGGGGGGGGAACCGGCGCGCGGGCGGGGGCGGCGGGTCGCCTTGTTGCCGCGCCGTGGCCCCCAGACAAGCTGGCATCACCTTGTGCCCCATTCCAGGGAACGCTCGGCTGCATCTCCTTTTGCTGCAGCACGAAGGTTTGCCTCTCTCTCTGTGGATTCTGGCATTCTGGAGGCGTGGGCGTGGAGCTCAGAAAAGATCCGGTGTTAGATTATCACACAGGTCAGACTCGTGTTCCCGCAGAGCTCCGCCGCCGCCCCGCACCCGCGAACGGGGGGGGCTCGGCGCGCGGGCGGGGGCGGCGGGTCGCCTTGTTGCCGTTGAAGATCACGGGGACGTTGTTGTAGGTCGGCAGAACCTTTGTCTTCTGGTCCTCGTCATTCTCCTGTTGGCGGGGACGGGCAGGGGCGCATTCTCTTTGGCGGCCCCCAGAGACCGAAAAAGGTACAAAAAGCCTTCCCGAACTCGCCCACCCCTTCCTGCTGACCAGAACCAGTGCTGGGCCACCTCGGACCTCCAGCCAGCTCCAAGGCCAACACACGTTCTGTGGATCATCGATCCGAAAACCGTGGGTGCCCGGGCGCTGACCTCTCTGGGGGGACCCGGCCGCTGCTCGCGCCCGCTCCCGCGGGGCCACGCTGCCCCCGCCCACGCCGCTGCTTCCCAGACATCCCACTTCTTGAGCTCTCCAACACGTGGACCCTGCGAGGTCTCGGCCCATTGCATGGGGCCGCCGCTTCCTCCACCGTGTTTTGAAGGCCCCAGGGCCCAGCGAGGGCCCGGGTCCCGCGGGGCCGCAAACGGCACAAAACCTCCAGCCGTGAGTTTGGTCACGACGTGAGCGCGGCTGGTTTGGGAGCCGCCCTCACCTGAAGTGCCCCCCTTCTGCTGGACTTTGCGAGCCGAATCGATCCGCGAGGGCCGCGGGGGCCCGAGATAAGGCGAAATCGCCAGGCGCGAACAAAATTACGACGCCAGGCTCTCAGTGCCCTCCGTCGTTGAGGTTCGGGCGCTGCCGAGGCGCCAGCCGCAGCTCCGCCTCCAGGCACCCAAATGCGAACACCACGACGGCGCAGAGAACTCGACGAGTGCATGCAGCCGAGTGCACCGCCGCGGGGGTGTCCGATACCCCAGAGCCGGTTGATGGCGGCGCCCCAAAGGGCGGCGCGAGGAGGACGGCGTTCTGAGAATGCGCAGGGGCTTCTCAGGAAGCATGGGGCCTTCTTGGGAGGGCCGGGCGGCTTCTGAAAGGCCTCCTTGGAGCTTCGTTTTAAAAAACCTACTTACAAGCCTCCAGGCCCTTCCAAGAAGGCCCCGTGCCTCCCAGGAAGCCCCTGCGCCTGCTCAGGAGGCCGCCCCCCTCGCACCACCTCCATGTGGAGTGCCGCCGAGATTGTACCCGCAGGGGTAAGATTCCCAGACCTGCGATGCCCTCATCTGGTCAATACGGTGCGGGCTATAGTTATATCCACATCCAGTGCGTGTTGCAGCTTTGGGCTCTCTTCCCCAGAAACCGGAGGCGCAATGGCTATGGATAACAGTTTGCCCCAGAAGGTGTTTGATTGTTATCCATATGCAGTGTGGCTCGGCCTTGCGGCACCCCTTCCCAACAGGTCCACGACGCTCTGGATATGGATAGACGTATTGCCCGCCTACGGACCCCCTGGATGTCCCGACCCCTTCCCCGGGCACCTGCTCCTCCTCCCGGGCCGTTCCCCGACGGCCCCGGGGGCACGGCGAGGCGCCCCCCGAGGGCGAACGCTGCGAAACACCTCCGCCCCGCTGCCGTCCCCAGCGCGAGCTCGCCTGGGATCGGCCGCAGTCGCAGAGCCTCCGCGGCGCGCCTCGCCTCCGCGAGGCGGGCCGCCGCCCGCGAGCCATCGAGGCCGACGGCCACGGGGCGCGGCCTGCTCGGGTCGGCGGTCGCGGGGCCGCCCTCGACGCGCGGCCTCGCCTCGGCCTCCCGGCGCGGCCGGCATCCCCCAGTGGGCAGCCCCGCCCTTGATCGGCGGCGGTCGGGGGGGGGCGTGAGCAGGAGAAGGCCTTCTCAGAAGGCCGCGGGGATTCTGGGAACGCCTCCGCCCTTTCAGGTGTTCTGCGTCTCCGGGGAAGGCTTAGAAAGCTTCTGAAAAGGCCGGGGACCTTCCCAGCCTTCTGAGAAACCCATCGCCCTCTCACTTCCCCCGCCGGGCTGACCGCCGACTTGAGGACCTGGGGCCCGAGTGCCGCGACCTCTCCAAACCCGCTCGCGTCGCGAAGGAATCGCCACGGGAGGCGTTTTTCCTATCTTTGGCCTCCGAGGGGGCCCTCACCGAGCCCCAGGACGGCTAAGAAAAACGGCCCAGCATGAAGAACTGACAGGTCCCCAGGATGGGGTCCAGACGTCCAGACCTCTGTGGGTCCACGTAGCGACCAAAGGCACGACGTCGGGGGTCTGGGTCTGGGGCGGGGGCCGAGTGGCTCGGATCAGAAAGGCTGCGGGTGGCCAGCCAGACGATGTCCTGAAGCGTGCGCCGGGGAGGCCCTGGGCCACGCCAGGGGGTCCCTGGCAATGATCTGCAGCAGGGGGCGCACGAAGGAGGCCCCGGGGGAAGGTGCGCTGGAGAGCGTTTCCCAGCTGGATTCCGGACTGAAGGGTGGATCTCTGCTGGACATGAACAGCACGAGCTTGGAAGACACATGTGTACGCCGAGGTGTGTGTGTGTATACCTCTGCAGGCTTGTATGTATGCGTATCCATATGTACACATATGTATGAGCGCTCGTATGACCGATTATGCCTGTACACGTGCACAAGATACCTAGGCGTGGGTATATGCATACTCGTACGCGTATAACATTTCAATGTGTCTATGCAAATACATATAAATTCACGTTTGCATATACATATACGTAAACCTATGCTTAGACATAAACACGATCATACACACACATGTAACATATACAGATACGCAAGCACATTACACAAACATATGCATGACAAACTTCATTTGCACATATAAAAATATATAAGCAGACATATGCACATGCAAATGCATATGCATATACATGCACATACACACATGCCTATACAGAGACACATACATACACCTACACATATGCATATGCATTCACATATGCATACTCGTATACATATACCTATTTAAATAATACTATATTAACATATATGTATATATATAGATATATAGATGCATGCATCTACATATACGTATGTCTACACACAACTATACACATACATTTACATATACATGTAAACATACATCGACATCTATCGAGCGTTTGGAGAACTGGGTTGAATGGGACCTGGTTTAACGATGTGTACTGGGGGACGCCCCCCAGGCCCCGTTCCGCTGCCGGCACTGTCGTCACCCGGAAAAAAAACAGCTGCGGCAGACCTTGTTTAATCACTCTGGCAAATTTAGAGGCTCGGGGGCCCTACCACTAACGGGTCCCCTTACATGGGGTCCTGGCGATGCCCGAATATACACATACAAACATCTATACAACTGAATTTGTAAATATGAACACGCCTATGGTTAGACCTATATTGTCATGCGTATGCATGTGCATAACCATACCCATAAACATGCATCTAGTCATGCACCCCTGCATGTTTATACACACCTATACATTATGTCTGAATGTATGTACGTACATACATACATACAACCATACGTACATACATACATGCAATGACGTACACATGCACGTACACGTATACCCATTCATACAGTCAAGTTTACAGATGCATGTTACACATATGTAGGTATAGACATCGAAACAATCAAAACCATATACAGTTAATCAGAGTGAAAGGGCTGAACCGAACGGTCATTCACTGTCCCTGGGTGCGTGGCTGAAATGGAATTCCGCGATGCGGATTCTTGATGTTGTTGTTCTTTGTTGTTTGCTGTTGTCGTCGTCCCACCCGCGACCCGCCCCGCGACCACCTCGCAACCCACCCTTCGACCCACCCGCGACACACCCGCGACCCACCCCGCGACCCACCCGAGTCCCACCCCGCGACCCACCCGCGACCCACCCGCGACCCACCTGCGACCCACCCCGCGACCTGCCCGCGACCCTCCCCGAGACCCCCCTGGCGACCCACCGGCGACCCACCGGCGACCCACCCGCGACCCACCCCGCGACCCACCCAAAAAATTCGGCGCCTGCGGCGGGTTTCTTTTGCATTCGCTCCAGGTGGAGAACCTGCGACTCACCCGCGACCCAACCCGCGCCCTCGATCCACCCGCGACCCACCGCGACCCACCCGCGACCCACCTGCGACCCACCCCGCGACGCACCCAAAATGTTCGGCGCCTGCGGTGGGCTTCTTTTGCATTCGTTCCTTGTGGAGAACCTGCGACCCACCCGCGACCCAAACCGCGTTCAGTGTACAAATCAAAGTGTTCGGCGCCTGCGGCGGGCTGTGTTTTCATTCCTTCCAAGTGGAGGTGGAGAGCCCGCGACCTACCCGCGACCCAAACTACGTTCACAGAACAAGCTAAAACTTCGGCGCCTGCGGCGGGCTTCTTTTGCACTCGTTCCAGGTGGAGAACCTGCGACCCAAACCGCGTTCAGTGTACAAATCAAAATGTTCGGCGCCTGCGGCGGGCTGTTTCTTAATTCCTTCCAGGTGGAGGTGGAGAGACCGCGACCCACCCGCGACCCAAACTGCATTCACTGAACAAGCCAAAATTCGCCGCCTGCGGCGGGCATCTCCAGAGGCTCGAAGAATGGCGACGTCCCCACCGCCCCCTCACTCTTATCCGCATCTGCGGGGTGCTACGTACCTCGACGTCTGCATAACAACCACTGGCACATGTAAAAGTGTTTGCACATATACATCTACATCAATATAATAAAACACATGAGCGCCACCGTGCCCTCGAGGCACGAGACAGAGTGTCCCCAGGTCCAATGCACAATTCCCTGGAGCTTGACCCCCGAATCCTGAGGATTCTTTCAGGGGCCCAGACCCCAAGCTCTTAAATCTTCCTTCGTGGCCAAGTGGGCCCCTAGACGAGCCAATAGCGTATCAAGAGGCCCCCAAAACGGTCCAAAAGGGCCCCAGCCCGCCGAAAGATCGCTCCAAGACGCCCCAACAGGCCTCCAAGAGGCCCCCCGAAGGAGTTGGGCGTCCTCGCCTTTTCGGCTTCCCGACACTCCAAGGCGGCCCCTGAGGCCCCCACGATCGCCCCAAGACGGCCTAAGTGGCATCCAAGAGGGCCCCAAAACGGCCCAAGAAGGAAGGCCCCAAGACGGCCCAAAAGGCGCCAAAGACGGCTCAAGAGGCCCCCCAATCGGATCCAAGAGAGGGCCTAAATGGGCTGCCCGAACGGACAGTTCGAGCCCGCGGCCCTGAGAGGCCCCCAGGAGGCCCCAAAACGCCCTCAAGATGAGGCCCCAAGAGGCCCGCAAAGACCCCCAGGCAGGCCCAAGAAGCGACCAGGAGGCCCCCCCCAACGGCCATAAAACTGCCCCCCAGAGGCCCCCGAGAGCACTCCGAAGAGACCCCAAGAAGCATTACTGAGAACTCCGACCCACAAACCAGGGACGATGGCGGGACACACATACATTGCAGATGCAAATGCATACGCATATACACACACATCCACACATACATACACCAACATACAGCTACATCTGCGTCTACACGTACATCTACATTAACATATACATCTACTTGTACATTCACATCAATATTTACACCTACACCGACACCTGCACCTATACCTATAACTGCATCTACATATACATCTACGTCTACACATTTGTATACCTATATGTATGCATACACACATACATATACGTTCAACTACCTATACGACCACCCTGCGGGTGATAAGGAGGTTGGGGGGGGAGGGGGACCAGCAATTCGCAGCACGATATCATGATCGATGGGACCATCCATCCCACTATCGATCTCACTCGATCGATCTCACTATCGATCTCACTATCGATCTCACTCGATCGATTTCACGGTCGATCTCACTCTGGATCTCGCTATCGATCCCACTAACGATCTCCCTATCGACATCACTCGATCTCACAATCGATATCACTATTCATCTCACTATCGATCTCACTATCGATCTCACAATCGATTTCGTCATCGGTCTCACTATCGCTTTCGCACCAGCGGGACATCGGGACACCGGCGGGACACCGGCGGGGCACCGCGCGCCACCGCTTGCCGGAGGGAGAATCTTGTGGTCCGGCCGGGGCCCAGCCACAAGCGGGACACCGGCGGGACACCGCTTGCCGGAGGGAGAATCATTTGGTCCGGCCGCGCCTCAGCCACAGGAGACTTTCCTCTCGCCCGCCCACGCAGCTTCGCCTCGCCCGCACGCATGGCACGTACGACCACGAAACCGAAACCGATTTCCCGGTGAGGGGCTCTCCGTTCCACTTCGATCTCACCCCCCAACCTCCGATCGATATCACTATCGATCTCAGCACATGAAAAACACGGGACACCGAAGGGACATCGATGGGACACAGACGGGACACAATCCGATCTCACTGTCGATCTCACTATCCATCCCACCATCGATCCCACTATCGATCTCGTTATCAATCTCATTATCGATCCCGCTTTCGATCTCACTATTCATCTCACTATCGATTCCACTATCGATCTCGCTATCGATCCCACTCGACCGATCTAACTATCGATCTCACTATTCATCTCACTATCGATATCACGATCGATCTCACTATAGATCTCACTATCGATCTCTCACTGTAGATCTCACTATCGATCTCACTATCGATCTCCTTATCGACCTCACTATCGATCTCACTATCGATCTCACTGTCGATCTCACTATCGATCTCACTGTCGATCTCACCACAGGACACCACGGGACAACGACGGGACACCCTCGGGACACCAGCAGGGCACCAGCGGGACACCTGCGGGACACCGCGCGCCACCAGTTGCCGGGCGGAGAACCTTTTGGTCCTGCCGCGGCCCAGGCACAAGCGGGACACCGGCGGGACACCGCGCGCCACCCGTTGCTGGGCGCAGAACCTTTTTGTCCAGCCGCGCCCCACAGGAGAATCCCTCTCCCCCGCCCACGCAGCTTCGCCTCGCCCGCACGCACGGCACGAACACGAAACCGAAATCGATTTCCCGGTAGGGGGGCTCTTCGTTCCACTTCGATCTCACCCCCCAACCTCCGATACAGATACACCTACACTTACATATACATACACATAAACATTTCCACATACATGGAACATATACATGCTCATCTACATATACACGTACATGGATTTACACATAGATATAGCCATAGACATAACCATAGACATATATAGGCATGTACATAGACGTTGATATGTACATAGACATAAACATAAACAAACGCATATACATATACATCGACCTATACGTACCCTTTGGGACCACCCTGCGGGTGATAAGGAGGTTGGGGGGGGGACGGGGCCAGCAATGGGCAACAGTGGTGATTGTTGCGTTGCCGCTCGCTCTTGGGAGCCTTGGTGTCGAGTTGTTTACGTCATCCTTCGCTCTTGGGCGCCTTGGCATCATTCTCCCCCCTGGGAACCAACGATCAAGAAATTATGTTAGTTAATTTTGCAAGGGCTTACGCTATCGATCCCACTAACGATCTCCCTATCGACATCACTCGATCTCACAATCGATATCACTATTCATCTCACTATCGATCTCACTATCGATCTCACAATCGACACCGGCGGGACACCTGCGGGACACTGGCGGGACACCGCGCGCCACCGCTTCCCAGAGGGAGAATCATTTGGTCCGGCCGGGGCCCAGCCACAAGCGGGACACCGGCAGGACACCGGCGGGACACCGGCGGGACACCGCTTGCCGGAGGGAGAATCATTTGGTCCGGCCGCGCCTCAGCCACAGGAGACTTTCCTCTCGCCCGCCCACGCAACTTCGCCTCGCCCGCACGCACGGCACGCACGAACACGAAACCGCAACCGATTTCCCGGTGGGGGGCTCTACCATTTTCGGCGATGCGCTAGCCGCGCCAGGCGCAACCGGCGTGTCCCGATCCCGCGCCCTCGGTCGAGACATCCTCCCCAAATCGCCCCACGGGCCCCCAGCACACTTCAAAGGACCATTTCTGGCGATGGGGCGGGCGCGCTGGGCGCGCGGGCGCCTCCCGATCCATCGCCCTCGCTCGAGACATCCTCGCAAAACCGCCCCACGAGCCATCATCGGCACACTCCCAGAAGGGCCATTTGCGATGCGCCGGGCCCGCCCGGCGAGAACGAGGGCGAACACGAGGACTAGCAAGAGGAGGAAAAGGATGAGCAGGGAGGAAGACGCAGGAGGACGGAGGAGGGAAGAGGGAGGCGCGGGGAGAGAGGAGGAGGAGGAGGAGGAGGAGGAAGAGAAGGAGGAGGAGGAGGAGGAGGAAGAGAAGGAGGAGGAGGAGGACGGATGGCTTTCAGGGACACCCAGCTCGCGAGCCTCACACTCCAGATCCTCGCCCTCCTGATGCCCGCTCATTCTCACCATCGTCGTCGAGCACAAGCGTGCGCCCCTGCTACTATATACAAGAACTCTCGATAAACCGCAGAGCGGCCGGCGAGTCTTACGCGCGCACTCGCTGATAACAAATCATCCCAGTGTAAATAAAAACGTTGCCAAACGCTTGACGAAATGCGCGCGCATGCCGGCATCCTTTGAAATCTGAGGGTTCGGAATCATTTCAAAATCATAACCCACGAAAGCCCGCGTTGGAGTCAGCGGGCGGGAGGGGGCCGAGGCTGGCGCGAGCGCCAGTCGAAAAGCGAGCCCGCCACTGGAGAAAATGATTGATACCTGATGCATAAATCCGCTGCTCACCTGACCCCTCCCCAGGGCGCGCTACGACCACGAGCCCGAAGCGGATCCGGCCGTGGCGACGAGGGGCACGTCGCGGTAGCGGCATCTCTCCCTCCTCCTGGCCAGGGGTGCTCCTTGCTCTTCTTCTCCTTCTTGGCGGCGCCCATGTTGGCCGGGCCGCCGGCACCCTTGTTCCCCTTCTGCACGTTGCCAGCGGTCCACCCCCTGACCAAGGCTGGGGCGGAGGGCAGTGGGGGGCAGAGCGTCTTGTTCGTCTGCTCGTCGTCGTCGTCGTCGTCGTCGTCAATGCGGGGCACCCGTATGCCATGAGTCCCGACTGCATCGTGTTAGATTTGTCAGTGGGTTGGGAGTTGTTCAGCGGCTCCCCTCCTTCGATACTGTGTGCCACTGAGGTTTGCTGCGCTCTCGGCGAGGGTGGAGCGCAGGCTGACTATCCCCCCATGTTGGGGCCTGCGCGGGGGGATGTGCGGCTGCTCCTGCTCCTCCGCCGAAGAATCGCAGGACGAAAAGGATGAGGAAGAGGCAACACCGGAGGACGAGGACGAAACGAGCAGCGGAAACTCTTCCGGCAAAACCACCGAAAACAAGTTCTGACGGCGCCCCTGGGGAAGGGGCCGCCACGTGCGTTTATCATCCATCTTTTGTACGGTCACTCTAGCGTGTCGTCGACTCCGGCCCAACAGCAGAAATTGAAACGGGATCGGATTCACCCCCCCCTGCGGGCGCAGAGCGCGCCACGGCGCCACGGGCGGCGCTGGAGGCGCCGCCAGAGTGGAGCTAAGCGTCGATGCGAGAAGTCCGCACGGCACTCCGAAAATTGTTTCTCCCTTTCACATCACGAGGCGCCCCCACGCAACAAATGTCGAGCATCACATAAAACGCGGACGTGGTAGGCAACCGCCGACACCTTGCAACCCGCAAAGAGACCCAAACAGCACGACAGACAGGAAGGACAAGCAGATAGGACAAAAAACAAGGGAAGGCCGAGGGGCCACGAAGGGGGAAAACCATCAGTTTAGGGGAACTCAGCCTGCGCTGTCCCTCAGGGAACGCACGCCCCTCCGAAGGGTGATGATTGTGCATTGTTCTGTTTTCCTCTGAAGAGCGAGGGTGCAAGGAGCAATGAAGACCCAATTAATCGCGAAAAACCTGCAATAAACTCCCACTTTCTGATTGGAGCCGGCTATTCGCGCGCAGGCTTATTGACGGAGCGGTGTTAGGGTTTGTCAAAGCCTCCTGCAGTACAGCTCTGTCTATTACCAGCCACGCGTCTTTACTCAAAGCTGAACCTTTCTTGATCATAGAATCGAACAGTGACTCCATTTGTAAAGAAACTTCGGGCAACTGTTGCTCACTATGCCATGCCATCTCTTGAAAACAAGTTTCCATTGAAGCGCCTCGTGCAACACACAACCAAATTCTTGCTTCCAGTTCAACTGCCAGATGCGGCGCCTCGGCAAGCACGGGACCCCTGCAGGCTCACTGTGCAGATTTTAAACTGTAATTCATCATGGCTGCCTTCGCTAAGTTGCCGGTCAGCATAACCTGCTCCTATGTGAACAGGAAGTGGCCTCCGATGCGATTGTGCTTCGCTGTCTCGTCGCTTTCGGGACTCCCGTTGGCGCATCCACAAACTCGTACACTCAGAACTACAATCTTCTCTCCATCGATGCCTTTTCGGGAACCTCTGCAAGCAGTCCGCGCCTCTTTTGCCGCCGTTGATGGCCTTGTTGTTTTTGACGTGGTCCGGGGCACACGGGGCTACCATCGTTCGTTGGTTTTGTCCAGCGAGCAGCATCGATCAGATCGCGCATGTCGGGGCAACACCGAGACCTCGCACGCGACCGTTCTCAGAGGTGCCACCTCTGTCTCTGCCAGGGGACTGGCCGCATCCTTCCCCCTTTCTCTCATGATTGTCGTTTCCTTCGCGTGCCGCGTGTCGCCCTTCGTGGCGACTCCAACGCCTCGGTCGGCAACCGTTGAATCTCGGGCCCTCCAAACATGAAACCCTCTTTCAATCCATCTGACAAATTGACATTCCGCCTCGCGCGCTCGAAGGTCATCCTCTCCAGTCGCGCCGAAAGCCCCGCTGACAAGTCATCCGCGCGCGCGCAATGCCAACCGAGGATCCAGCGACCTGCGCGCACAGCAAAGCTGGTTCCAACACAGGCTGCGCCCGTCCGCCCCTCTCAAGAAGCGGGCAAAACGCTAGCATGAACGGACGCGCGGCATCCGCGAACCCGTCCTTCTTGGAATTCCGCAGCTGCCCCGAGGGTAACCCTTTAATTCCGACGCGCGGTGGGGATATTTCATCCTACGATCGGTGCGATGACCTGATGGGCGCACGTTCTCGATGTCACCGCAAGTCAATGTCGCGCTGGCGATCGCCATCGCGCGCAGGAGCATCGCCCCCGCGCGCTTCGAGGCCGCAGGCGCATCTCGTCGATGCTGACCGAGGCCCTCGTCACCAAAACCTGGGGCAACCATGCGCGACTGCGCCTCGAGCCGACTGTGCCCGGCGCCCTCTTTCTTGTTGACCAGGGGAGATCACCCAAATGTTCCTACCCCCCTGACAACAGTGATCTCGCTGTCCTCGAAGTCATGCCAAGCCCCCCACTCCGCCCCGTCTGCGCCCTCAGGTCCAGCGAAGAGCTGGCGCTTGTCATCGTCCAGCCACCATCAAGCGGAGCTCCTTCCTGCCCTTTTTGGCGGTCGCCTGCCCCGCCTAAAACACGCGCTCGAACTCGCTGTTCGGTTTTTCGGCCCGGAAGCGAAGGCCGCCTCGGCGACGCCGCGCTCAACGTCGGCGGGGGCTGCAGCGGCGAGTCGCCGACGTCGCAGACGCGATGGGCGTGTTCTCGGCGGATGGAGGCAGGGGCGCCGTCAAGCAACTTCTGTCTCTGTAGCTCTCTCCGCGCGCCCGTCCGCTAGATGCGCCATGTCTCCCGATGCCCCCTGCAGTTGGCGGCGCCACGCCCGCGGCAGCTCGCGCGTGGGGATCGCGAAGGTCAGGGCCCTACGCGTTTCCGACAGCGACGTCCTTGTGGCTGGGTCCCAACGCCGCCTCAACGAAATCCTTCGTCGCCTCGCCCATCAACCATCAATCCCCTCTTCGCCGCTTCCAGCGCCGGCGCGCTTGCATCGGGCTTCTCGGGCGGAGCCGGGCCCTCCGGCATCGGCGGCGGGCCCGCGGCTGGCGCATCCTGCCGTGGAATTCCCTGCTTCTTGGCGGACTCGGGCGCCGCGGGCGGAGGCGCCTCCAGCGGCGGCTGGCCGTCGGGCCCTGGTCGAACATGGGCCCCATCATTTCAAAACTCTGGAAAGACAGGTCGGCGTCGCAAGTCGACGAATCTGGCGCCACCTGCCACCCCGGTCGCATCTACAAGTCCGCCTCCTGACCCTTTGGTCGGAACCCGCGTCCGGCGTCCCTTCGCGCGCGCGCGACGGCGATGCCGCGGCGAGCAGTCCAATCCCCCGCGCGGCCGGCCGCGCGCGCGGCGCCTCTCCGGTTGATGGCGCTCTCGGGCCGCCTGCCCTGATCCAGTGGTAAAAAGACCCAGCCGACCATCTGGTCATGGTGAAAGACCCACTCGACCACGCTAAGATGTCCACGATCCAATCGAACCTGTCGTTGTTCAGCTGTCCTGGCGGCGGCGTCGGTGGCTATCTTCGCGTAGGCCTTCCGAGCTGCCTGTCGCAACGCGCACTTCCACGTAGACCTTGCAGCTGGTGGCGCCGACGCCGCAACTGCTCCAAACCGCCCCAGTCCCGGCCTCGGCCTCGACCGCGGCCCCGGCCTTGGCCCTGGCTCCCGGCCCGCTCCGGCCTGGGCCCCGGCCCAGGTCCCCGCCCCAACGCCCTCCAAATCTACACCCTGTGGCTTCCCAGATACCCTGGATGCCGAGCCTACCTCCAAAACAGCGAAGGAAGCCTGGAGATCCTCAAAAAGGTTCCAAGACGCCCCGAATGGTCCTGATAGGCAGCCGGCGTCGTCGCCAAAATCGTCAACATCCTCGCCATCAGTTTCCGCCTTTTCCTCATGATCGCCACGCTCTACTCGCCCCTGCCTTTCCTTCGTGCCCCCCCTCCACCTGTACATGCGACGTTGCTCGCCTCACTCTCCTCCTGTTCATTCCCCCCCTGTGCTCCTACTCCTCCTCATCCACCTCTTCCTTGCGTCCCCCTCCTCATTTTCCTCCCCATGTTCCGCGCCCTCCTCCCCAACTTCAGGGTCGGTGGCGCCAGCCGTGGAGCCTTCGCAATACTCGGCGGGACTGGCCGTGAGTCCTCCAATGAATTTGCAGGAACCGATGTATGGGCAATTACATGTGGAACCTACCCCTGCAGGACGGACTCTTGAAGGACAAATGTTGGTTCATGACTCGAAAAAAGTTTGCAACAAAAACGGACCCGGGGGGGTGTCCGATGCCCGAACGTCGACTGGACCCGCAACGTTTAAATTTCAGAAATGGTCGCAGAGCTGCGTTCCAAGCCTTAGGTCGGGCATGTCCTCCTACAGGCGGATCTTGGGCGGAAAAATGTTGAAACAAATGTTGGAACATGTCAACAACAACAACAACAACAACAACAGCAGCAGCAGCAGCAGCAGCAGCAGCAGCAACAACAACAACAACAACAACAACAACAACAACAATATAAACATCGTCCCCTGACTATGTTGGAAATGTTCCTCCTGTAGAGGGACATGCCCGACTGAATCCTAGCCCCCGATAGGAGAACCCATCGCATCGTCGAGATCTCTGCGAGGCGGGGACTGATACGGATCCACCACCGGGATGGGCGATGCCCCTGGATCCTCGGGGGCGGCGGATGTAGACATGTTCGGGCCCGAGGACGACGAGGACGACGAGGACGAGGACGAGGACGACGAGGACGACGACGACGGGTGGCCCGACTCCGCCACCGTGCCAGCGGCCAGTTGTGGCAAGGTGTCCCTGGCGTGCCTGCCTAGGCTCTAGGAACTTTAAGGCCGAACCCCCCCCCCGCTCGACGCAACCGCAGTCAGCAAATCGTACCCTCTGAGTTTGAGACGGCCCCCCAAATTGCCCCAAGACGGCCTACAAAACCTCCGGCCTGCCCAAGCGGGCCCGAAAACAGCCTAGGAAACCCAAAGAAGGCCCCGAGAGGGGCCCAAGAAGGGGAAACCAGCTGGCCTTTGGAGCCTGTCCCTCTGAGATCGTCTT